GAATACTATCTTATAAATATATTCAACATGGTCTACTACTCATTTGACGATAAATTTATTTTAAAATCTTTTATATAAGTGAGGTAATTAATTTTCTAGCATATGTCTATTTTTCTGTTATAATCTTTTGTAACGATATATAAATAAAGCCAACAATAGTTGACTTTGTTACTTAAAATGAATATTTTAATATGTTGACTGCGGAAGATTTCTTATTAATTAATTAAAATTAGCATATAATAAGGCGCACAATTGGGCTTTAATCCAAAAACAAAAATTATCGAACAACTTAAAAATATTATATAATCAAATGAAATCCCGACATAAAGCATCAAATCAAGGGGTCAATGCGTAATCCCAACTTAAAGTAATGTGAACTCTTTGATTTTGTTGGCAAAAAATGGAAGAACTCTTCTTCTTTTTTTGTGGTGCTTACGCAAGGTATCCACTGTCGGTAGTAGTGACTAATCCCTTCACTGCAGGGACTTCCATTTACTAATCCTTTTACTGCGGAGACTTCCACTGAAGGGCAAACGGCTAGTTACGGGAACATTTTCATGCCTAGGGGTGGGATTCGAATGCCCACCACTTGGTTAAAGGACCAAGTGAGGTTACCACTAGGTCACTACCGCGTGGTTAAATGGAAGAACTCTTTGATTTTCAATATACTATATATAAATATATAATAACATGTAAATTTAATAACATTATTTTTAATCAGTTATATTATTTGCAATTGTGAATTATGCGACCTATTTGTATTGCTAATATATATGAAGCATGTGTGATAGAAATATATATATATAAATCAGCATTAACAAAAAAATCACTATTTTTTTAATCTGAAGGCATAATTAATATTATCATTTAATTTTTTTAATTTATATTTTGTTTTGTTTGAAGTACTAAATGGATAGCTAAATTATATGAAATCAAGTGGCAATTATTTAATTTAAAATTTTTTAAAAATAAAAGATAAAAATTATGATAATAAGTAAATGAATAAATGATATAAAGAGGATGTCGTAGGCATTGGAAGATCTTGTTTTAGATAATGAAGTGTAGCTCTTTAAGAAACTTGTCAAAAAATTTGATTAAAATAATTGACTTCGAATATATTCCTTGTCAAAATAATCCTTCTATAAATGGGAGTTTCTTGTTCATTTTTAATGTCATTGCAGAAGATATTATTGCTTGGAATTTGAAAGGGAAAAAAAAAACTCAACTAAACTTCTTTATGTTTATTATGTCGAATTCTTTAATCATACATGATCATGTGTCATATTTTTAAAATATTAGTGTTTAATAATATTTAATTATAAATTCATATGAAACAAAAAGGATATATGGTTACGTATGATTAAAAAATTTGATATAATAAATACAAGAAATTTGATGTAAGTATTGTAACCAACTTCTATTTTTATTTTCATTTATATATATTTTAGACAACATTTTCTTCCTTTTTTTGTTTTTTAGATTTTCGAATTCTGATCTATATGATTTATAAATAGAAAGTTTGCTATTGCCACTCATATCCTTATTATAAATTACCTGTAACTTGTTCTCACATTACTAATAAATATATTAAATTGATAAAATTTTTCAAATTTATTTTTATTAAAGACTTCTCTTTTTTACATTTACAAATTATTTTCACATCCCTCTCATTCTTTTCCTTTTCCAATAAAAATTAAATAACAGTAAAATTGAAAAACCATCTGTTAAAAAAAAAGAAAAGAAAATGATCATTAAATATTCTTTAAGTGACTTGTATTTAGAATACAATTTTTTTCTACAAATGACTTATAATAAGTGCCAGAATAGTATGTTGTACTCCTCCGGTCCTTAATATAGAACTCAATTATTAAGTTAGTTTTGGTCCTAAATATAAGACTAATTTCTCATATTTATCAATTTTCTCTAAATTATCCCTATGGATACTCCCTCAACCATAATCAAGTAGAAGAGGGAGATAGGGTATTAAAAAAGATGATTATGGTGTTTTAGGAAAAATGTGTCATTTATCTCATAATTAACTAACTTATCTAACTTCCTTAATATAATCAAATTAGTTAAATGGGTCTTATATTAAGGATCCGAGGAGTATCTTTTTACTTCTTTATTTTTATATTCTTTAAAAAGATAGTAGCTGGTTCTCTCAAGTACATTTTTTAATGTATACATGAGCTCAAAATTAAGATGTTCCACTTAAATATCCAAACCTTTGTTCGGTTAGGGGAAAAAAAAGTTTTCACAGTGACGTGTTTTTTTCCTATATTCTTTCTAATAAAAAATAATTCAGTTTTTTTTTATCATCTTCTTAAAACGATACTGTGTGTGTAATTTACATATTTTTTTTAATATTTACAGAGTTTAAATTCTTGACTATTACGTAACCTTGTGGTGCCAAACAGCCATTTTGAGTCAATTTTTATAATATATATATATATATATAAATATCTGTGCAAGTTGCTTGTGATACAAAGTATTTGGTCGGATTAAGTTAAAAAGTAGGGGCTGGTAAAAAAAAAAAGTTAAAAAGTAGGGGAAAATAATAACAATAATAAATGATTTGGAAATCCAAAAAGGATACGAAATATGCTTTGGAAGTGTATAGAGAGGAAAGTCGGAGTCTTGGGCCCAGAGCTACCAACAAATGCTTCCCCAACTGACTATTTCATCATGTTGTCCAACCTGTTTCCTTCTAAAAGAATCCCCCACGCATTCCCCCCTTTCAATTCACTAATTAATCAATTAATTATAGTATTACTTTATTAACTCCTTTTTTCTCCCCATCTTTTATTAATTCAGTCTTTGTCTAGGAAAAAAATTTAGTAGCCACTAAAAAAATTCCTCCAACTAGTTGTGTGTGTATATATATTCTGTCCTGGTTCTTAATATAAGAGTTGTATAAATAATTTGAGATGTTAAAAAAAATCAGTTAAGTTAGTTACATGATAATAAATGTGTATAAATCTTTTTAAATTATCCTCTTTAATCATATGCATTAGAACTACATCTTAGTAAAAATTTTCTTAAAATTTATAATTAATAGGAATATTTTAGAAAAAAATTATAAATTTAAGAAAAAAAATGAATTCCAGTATTATCACCGTTTCTAATTATAAGACTTTTATTGTAAAAGTCTTATAATTAGAATTGGAAGTAGTATTAAAGATTGGAGGTGGTATAAAAGAATCTTTTAGGAATAAAATTGTTTTTTTGATGGCATGGAATAATTTGTTTTATTTATAAGAGAAGCGGATAGCTTGTCTGAAATTTGTCTAAAATGTTCGGTTCAGCATTTTATATTTTTACAATTATTGATTAGTATCATCGCTTTAATTTTCTCTCTCCCGCACATAGATAAATTTTTTTTAAAAATAGTACGTTACATTATTTTTACATATTTATTACATGTAATCCATTTTAACTAATTGTTTGATTTAATGTAATTTCATTATTTATATTTTATAAAAAGGATTTTAATATAAAAATATATAATTCAAAAGGTGAGGAAAAATGTCAACCAACTACTCATGAAATGATAATAATTACTTTAGAAAAAAGCTTCATACTTATATTTTTTTAAATTGATTAAAGCATCCTTATAAGTTTATAATATCAAAGCAATCATGTCCATTGGCAAACAACAAAAAAAATGTCGAAGCAATCATGTTATAACTCTGTGAAGGATTGGCGGGGTGTGTGTATTTAAAAAATACAGTATGAGTTATTACCTTGGCAATTAAGTTTTTTTTTTTAATTTTAAAATATGTTACCGTAATTACTGCCCAATAAGGTCCAAAATTAGAAAACAAATTATTTTGAGTGGGTCGATGCTAGATCTCACTTCAAGTAATAAAGATTAGATCAAGTAGAAAAGGTCAATCCTTCATAAAATGTTGAATCAATATTTGACTTCCCGTTAAGAGAAATGTTCACATTTAGTGTTCGATAGTGTATCAAATATTATTGCCTTTAATAAAAAGATACTCGTGCCTAGGAAAAAAAATGGTTAGAACAAAATTTTTTACTCTAATTCAAATTCAGAAAAGCACATTTGTTGAAAGGGTCTTAACCGTAACATTCTCAGCTCGACCAAAATTAATCTTAAGCCTAAAGTAGTTTAGGGATACTTTAAATTATACCAAAAAAAATTTTTACTCTAAATTTTACAAGATTAATAAAACTTGGGAACAATAAAGAATGAAGAACCTAATAATCAAAATTAGTACCGAAAAATTAAATTATTTATGAATTACTAAAATAAATTATCACTAGTGTTGCTTAAAATTGTCTCTTACACTACTCGGTCTTAGTTTTAAGACTTTGTTTGTAGATTATAAATAAAATTTTATAATTAAGACTGTATAAATAAAATCTTATAATTAAGATTAGAGACAGTAATATCTAATTTTTTTTCATAACTAATATTTTATGTTCCACTAAATTTAAATGATATCATATTGCACATAGTATCATATAGCTAATTACGTTTTGACGTATAATATCATGTAAAAAATGAGTAATGAGGTTTGCAACTTATGAATAATACAGTTTGCGATAAAGTTAATTTAAAGTATACTAATAATAATAATAATACATTTTCATAAATTATAAATTTTTTATTTTTAGAAACAATTAACAAAGAGAATTAGGAAGTGAAAAAGTGAAAATCGTGGGAGAAGGTGAACGCCGAGTTACGGACACGTGGGCGTCTGAAACAATGAAGAAGAGAGGGACCCACATGGGCGATGCTATTCCCATAACAAACACTCACGCGGGACCCACTCTTCTCCCAATCACATGGCCTCTGCAAATCCAACGGTTCAGATCCACCCCTCACAATTCCCCACATCGAATCTCGACCGTCCCTCTGAATCTCCTCCTCTGTCCCAACCTTGTCCTCCATTTTCAGCGACATCTCGCTTTAAAGCTGCTCCTTTTGCTACCGACACCCTTACCTTGTCTTTGTCCACAATTTATGCCCTTTCATACTCGAAGTTTTCTTCCTCATCTTTAGCCTTTCCCTATAAAACACAATCCTCCATTTTCATTTCTTCCCACAGTTTCGTCTTCAAGCTTCAAGCTTCTTCAGCAGCCTGTTCTCTTAACCATAAAAGGTTCGAGCTCGGTTGGTTTCTCTGGGCATTGATTGATTTTCTTCGCTGGGATTTCTGGGTTTTAGCTAGAGAGATGGAAAACAAAGTGGCTTTTGAGAGTGATCTCAATCTCAAGGATACAGAGCTCAGATTGGGGCTGCCAGGAAGGGAAGAACAAAAATCAGTGGTTAGTTCTAAGAACAACAACAAGAGGCCTTTATCTGAAGCTTCTGAGGATTGTGGAACAAAGGGTTCTAATGAATCAGCCCCTCCAGCCAAGTAGGTTAAACATATTTAGGTTTATAATATTTCTATTTTTATGTTGGGATCTTGTGGATCTGAGGCTAAAACTGATGATTTTGTTCATTTGACAGGGCAAAGATTGTGGGGTGGCCACCAATCAGATCTTACAGGAAGAACAGCTTACAGGAGGGTGACGCTTCTGGGATTTATGTGAAAGTGAGTATGGATGGCGCTCCATACCTCAGGAAGATTGATTTGAAGGTTTACGATGGCTATCCAGAACTCCTCAAAGCTTTAGAAAACATGTTCAAGTTAACCATAGGTGAGGTAGATTTGAGATTTCCACAAGATATGTTTTCTTTCTGATAGAACTTGCAAATCTAACTTCTGAAGCTGAAAATGACATGGGTTTTGGGTTTTCTTTCTCCCTTTTCAGGTCAGTACAATGAAAGAGAGGGTTACAAAGGGTCAGAATTTGCACCTACATATGAGGACAAGGATGGTGACTTGATGCTTGTTGGAGATGTTCCATGGGAGTAAGATCTCTCTCTCTCTCTATATATGTGTGTGTGCGTGTGCATGTGTGTATCTTGTTTTTGTGTCTCTTGGTTTAACCATTGGCTATAATACTTAATCTTACTGAGATATATCTCTTGTTTTTCTGCAGCATGTTCAGGACTTCCTGCAAAAGACTAAGAATCATGAAAGGATCAGAAGCTAGAGGATTGGGTTGTGGAGTATGAGAAACAACCAAAGTTTCTATTGATCAGAGATCATTGATCAGTCAGTAAGCAAGAGAGATAAAAGTGTTTTTTGGTGTCGAAGGAAAGCATTTCTTCAAGCCTGGGTTCTCGGGACAAACTGGGATTTTGAGTCATGGCCATTTCTGGGGTTGGCCTGACCTCTGTAAGCAGATGGAAGATATATAGTGCAGTCTCTTTCATGAATTTTTTGGCATCAAAATTTCTGGCTCTATTAGGGGAAAGAAAAGATCTGTGGTGGTTGGGTGATTTACTTTTGTTTTCTCTGATCCTTTCAGAAGGGGCAACTTCATTGAAATCTGTTTCAAATGAAGGAAGATGGACAGAGTTTGATGTGTTCAGTCATCCAAGTTTTTTTTATTTTTATTTTTATTTTCCTGTTGTTCTTAAGGTTTTTGTATCTATAAAAGATTACAATGTAATACACCAATTATTATTCGTATGCATAATTTCGATTCGTGATTTGGATCTGCGTAGGTTAAGCTATGTGCGCCATATCCAGATCTTCCTTATTTTTCACAATTCTTTTCCTTAGCCATGCTCAGATGTCCAAATTGAAATAACACTAAAAGACAAAATCATAAATTCAGTCATATGCAGGCTTATGGCCGGGCAAAGTCTGAGGTTGAAGGTGGTCCATATTAGAAAACTAGATCAGGTCTTTCTACGGTGAAAAGAACAATACTAATCTTAAAGACTCTTGCACGGAGGATTTGACCATGAAAAGTCAGGTTTGATGAAGCTGGTCCAACCTGGAAAACTTGTTCATGTCTCTTCCTTGTTCCAGTGAAAAGCATACATGTGATCCTCTACATATATACGTGTATGTATCTCTCTGTTTCGTATCTAATATGCGGCCAATGGCCATGGAAGGCGTGAGGGTGAAGCTGGTCCATCCTTTAAGAAACATGTTCAGGTGTCTTTTTAAAGTCCTCAGTGAAAACAACATTATTTTCTCTTTATATGGTTACTTTAAGCATCTGTTCTGTTTTTGTTGAATCATGTTATAGTCAGAGATGACCTATGAGAAATTTCTTGTGCTTTTTCTTTTTAATTGTCTTCACCAAACTCCACCGGCAAGTTATAAGTTATAACCACCATTTTGGTCTAATTAAAATGTCAGTCAAAATCTGTCCCTGACTTGGTTTGAATTCCAGACAAAGGCATTTAGATGTGATGCAGTTAGGTTAGGGGAGAAAATGCTGCCTAACTAGCCGCTTTGCCATAATATGACTTGGAAATTAGGAACAGGGCCATGACTTTTCTTGCCTTTGTTTTTTTTTTTTTAAAAAATTATTATGTTTTCTGAAAGGCTCAAACTTTATTTTGGTTTCCCTGTTAAGCTTCTTAAAAAGCCTTTCAGAATTGAATGAGGTTTTGGACTCTTGCAAATGTGACAGTTGTATTGTTCATGACTTCGTGAACAGCAGTGACGGAAAGAGCTTATACATACATACATACATATATTAAATATTTTGATAATTATAAATTGATTTGGCTGGTGTTGGCAAGGGAATAATAAGAAACCGTGGTTTTGTGAGATTTATGGATATATGATTGAATGAGGGGAGGGGAAGAAATATGAGTGTCGGTTGGTATAATGAAAAGGAATCTTCATCATCATTTTCTCTTGCTTTCCAGGAATCTTCATTGTATTTTGATCAGAAACTTGACTCGGAATAAACCAAAAACCAGGAGCCTGTATGGCAAACTGTAGAGAGAGAGAGAGAGAGAGAGAGAGAGATTGGTTGGGTTGAATGTTGATAAACAATGCTAGAGTTGAGTTGTGCTTCTAGTATTAAGTAGCTGTTTAGTGAATAATTGATACCTTTTCCCTAAGTATAAAAGCTAATAACTAATTTATAGGATTAAATAAATTAATTATTTGCATTAAATATAAATTATTTTTTTAAAATACTCTCTCAAATACTTACATTAAAAACTACCATTATAAACGGAAAAACCTTATTTAGTATGTGACTTCAAAAGATTTATTAGAAAAAAAATTTATAAATTTGAGTAATAAAATAAACTGAGGTCTTGTATTAAAAATCAAGACAAACTTATTAATAAGTTTCCATATTTAGTATCTGAGGGGTACTTATATATATTTATATGAACATATAATTTTTAGCCATACTCTAAGATTAATTTTATAGGATCTTGATTTTTTTTTTGCCAACATCTAATCCAATTTTATTAATCAAATTAATCATGCCCTGAGATATTCAAATGATGAAGATAGTATAAAGAATGTATCTAGTGGCTATGATTCCACTTTGATAAAATATTTTTTTATAACAGCAATAGGCCTTATTTTCAGCATGAATAAATGGAATTGTTTTTATAAATTTTACTTCTATTATTTACAGAAATATTTGTAAATAGATTTTTCTTATACTTGAAAAGATTATGAATTTATGATCCATTCACAGTTTTTTGGGTAAGTGCATACTGCATGGTGAAGGACAGACATAAATAAGAGTGAAACATAAAATTACAAATTAATTTAAATTAAAATTAAATAGACAGAGCAACAGAAGAAAAAGTAGTCTTTTCACTTGTGAAAATGTCTTTCCTCTGTTTTATGTCTTTCTCTCTCTGTCCTTTTGCTCTCAGAATTTTGTCTAACATAAGCTGTACACAGCTTGCCTGTTAACTTAATTATTTTCTTTTCTTCTGAGATAATCTTATCGAGCAATGAGAAAATCTTTTTTGATTAAATATTTTACTCAAAAGTTTGCAGAATAAGTAAAAATATTATTTAATTAGAATGCTTGGCCTTTTTGTTTTGCTTTTATTATGAGTTCAGAAGCTGCACATAAAGGTGTGTGCATCAGTGTCAGCATTTTCTTCTTTTCAGAGAAAAAGAAAGTGATCAAGCCAAAGTGTCATTTTATTTAATTAATTTAATTTAATTAATCAATATATTAATAGTCACTCACTAGACATCTGCTCGAGACATGATTCTTGAAAATGATACGCAGTTTATTGAGCTAGCCTAATTATGACAATTATATATATATTGGTTCCATCCATTAAAAAATTAACTATAGATTGTGGAGTTTTTTTTTTAATCATAGAGGGTTAAAAAGTATTTTTATCCTTAAATCTTTTAAGAAGAATGCTGAGTATTAAATTGTTAACTAGGGCAATATTGTCACCAAGCTTAACAAACTCATAATGTCACCCCTATACATTAGAGGAGGAATTTACTAAAGTGAGTTATACCTTTTTTTTTTTTTTGGATCTAGAGCCATACCATTTCAAGTAAGCAATTTACAACACTTTTTTTTTTTTACAAAAATTTACTAGCTTTATTTATTTATTTATTTTTTTAACGAATCCCACACTTCGAAAGATTAATATAAAAGGCCCTGCTTCAGGTGTAGTAAAAAAGTGGTTATGACATGGAGTTTAGGAAGGTTTTTAATTCTTTAACTGATATTTAATACCTTTATTATTATTTTTTAACGAATCCCATGCTTCGAAAGATTAATATAAAAGGCCCTGTTTCAGGTGCAGTAAAAAAGTGGCTATGTATGGTTTTTTTTAAAAAAAAGTGGCTATGACATGAAGTTTAGGAAGATTTTTAATACTTTAACCGGTATTTTCTATATTTTAAAGTAATAATAATTTATATTGTCATGGGGGGATATTGAAGAACAATTTTTTTTTGGTCAGAAGATATTGAAGAACAATTTGAATATGCTATGCTGGTTAAAAAAAAAATTGAATATGCTATGTAAATAACATGTCTATGAGAAGAAAGAGTCCATATTAATTGAATTGTTACGATTTTTTTTTTTGTGAATTAGTTATTGAATTGAACTATTATGAATAAGGAGAAAAACAGCAAAAAGAAAGAAAGAAAATAGGGGGGAAAAAACATAACATAAAAATTTAGGAAAACAGAGATGCTGTGGACAAAACAACGTGTGTGTTCTGCAAAAGAACCACATGACAACTTTCACATTCACAGACAAAAACCAAAAGACAGGGACATTGAAGCAGCAGAGTTGTGTTGGATTTGGATGCAACCCGAAGGCAACTTCTTATCTCCTTCACATCATTTCCTCTGATTCCCACTTTTTTTTTTTTGTCAATACAACCAAAATGACTCATTTCAATTTAATTATTTATAATTATCCCATTAAGTTATTAAATGGTTCAAATTTATAATTTCATGGAAATTTAAAAGAAAAAGACAGACGATAAACTACTTTACTGGCATTCATTTGATTGATCTAACAAGAGCCTCTTGTCTTGTTCAAAAAGAAAAGGCACAAACAGCAGACAGGGACTGGCATTAGTAGCTCTGCTGTAAATATACTCTGTGAATGTACGGTTAACAGCATTTGTATTAACTGTATATATTATACCCTGTCCAGGCAATAAATAGCTATAAAAGTGTGTGCTTTTGTGTAGGTAAATTTGATTAAGATGTTTAGATAAAAATAAAATTATAGTTTTAAAAATAATTTTACAATATAAAGTAAATATGTAGAGGAGTTTATTTCGATTTACGAAAAAATACTTTTAAAAAGTAATTTTGAGTTACCCAAACACCCTCTGAAACTCATTCTTTAAAAATTTGATTGATTTAATTGGCACAAAGATTTGAATTTGAATAAATGTAACTATAATTCATCTATAAGTATAATTTTTTTCTGGTTATGTGCAACATATAATTAATAATGTGTAACAATTATTAATACAAAAATTATTTGTATATAACAAAAGATATGTTGCACATAGTAAAAAAAATTATACTCATAGATCATAGTTGCAGACTTTTAAATTTAATTCTTTTTAGCCAATTAAATTTTTAAACAAGAATTTTTTTTACCAAATTTTCCTTTTATTTATGTGGGCAAGAAATTATTAGAGCTAAGAACAATGGTTAGATTAAATGAATTGATGACTTGAATAATTCATTTGAGTTTGCCGGTTTAACTCTCTTTTCTAAAAAGACAAAAAGGATTAAGAGTTACATGAATTTTTTTGACCATTAAATATAGTAGATGATGTTATTAATTTTATTCCTTGAATGAATATGGGCTAAATTTAGGTGCTAAAAATCATTGAAATTAGTGGGAAAAAATTGTGTGGGTTGGCAAGTTGGCCCATTTAACCTAACAACCCAAGCGAGTTCAGGTTGGGCCAAGCAGGGTTACAAGTTTAAACCTATGCTGAGTATGAGTTGTTTGTGGGGGCATGTTTGGGTGCCTTGAATTGTAAATATATATATATATATATATATATATATATATTCTCTTAATCAGACACTAAAACCAAATTCTAGAAATCGGAGTCCCAACCTTCAGCCACAAAAGTTTCTAACTTCCAATATAAAAGAAACCAAGTCTCTCTCAAACCGAGCAGTTGGGTCAAACTCAACAAATTTTTGAAGGGGCAAGCCAAGGGTAGCCACAATTAATGAGGGACAACTACATTTTCCATGTCTTGGACTTATACAAGTTAACAAAATGGGCAAATGAGAGAGTGGCTCCTTACTCTAGCACTTGAAACTGTGGTCTACATTCAGACGTAACTGTTGCCTATAATCTGTAGACAAATGAGATTTCTACAACAGGTTACAGAAATGTATTGGAAATGATGACACAACAGAAGAAAATTTTAAAATTACATTCTGTTAGACGAGCCCAGAGCCTCATAAGGCAAAAATTATGTCTCAAGCCTCTGGCAGCAGTCTGAGAAGGCGCATCTAACAGACCCTTCACCCATAGTTCAGGCCGGTAGCTTCATGCCCACAGTATCAAAAATTGCCAGAATGATGAAAACTATACTTTTGGCTTATGAACAAACTAATGAAAATGAGAGATATGTTTCAGGTAATCCCAAAGCCACAAATATTCTTCATCAGCCATGACGATCCTCTTGCTTTCGCTCACAGATCATATGATCTTTCACGCCGCATGAGGTCTATCATGTTGAGTTCTACCAGCACCATAAGTCCACCTCTTCACACTTCAGGTAGATATATCTGATTCATGAGTCTGATTATCATTCTGTTCATTAGATACATCTGATTCATGAGTCTGATTATCATCTTTGTAACTATTATGGTCGGGTGGCAAATGGTCGGCACTTTGGCTTGGGATAACCAAAACTGCCTGGCTTTGTACAACTGCTGGTTCTTTCTGTTGGACAGTCTCATAATCACGCTGATCAGGTGGATGCACATATGATATACCAAACTTCTGACCATGGGTTAATCCTGGGCAAAAACCCTGCAAAGTTACAATAAGATGTTCAACATTAATTAACTGATCCAAAGCGCAGTGAAAAATCCAAAAGTATTGGAAAGCTTAAAAACATCACTTTTCTGCAATGTATGGGTGGTTAGTTGTCAATTATAAGTTCATATCACTTTAAAATATTGAAGCATGGAGATGGTTATGGGAAACGGGGACATGATAGATGATATGGCGAAGTCCAAATACAAGGATGTTATATTAAGGTGAATGAATTCTAGGAATAATGAAAGACACAGATGAGGCTTACAAAAGTAGGGCACAAAAACATGTACTTCATTTTGGGAGGCTAGGAATACCCGAAGAAGCACAACCTCGTTAAATTTTGCATCACTGAGCAATGCAACCACTGATCTGACTGGTCTTTATAAAAATAAAATATGTCTTGTTTATGTGACATGCCACTTAAAGCATCTAAAACAACAATGATTCTTTATTTTTAAAATCCAGGGAAAAATAAGTTACTGATTCTGGCACTATCAAACTATCAAACTGTTTCAACTGTCTCACAATATGCACTTGTGCAGAATCAGTAGAATTACTAGAAAAGGAAATTTTGCATCAGAAACCAAATAGGAAGTAGATAACTTGATTTCTGACCTTTTAATTATTAATGAAAACAGTGAAGAAATTTAAGCATGAAAAGTTAAATGAAATAATATCCAGTAACTGTACTGTGAATATTGCAAAAAGAAGAAAGGAAGAATTCAACAGGGATGGTAGGAAAGTGTACCGAGCACTCACCTTGATCAAACCTGAAATAGAAGTTGATTCAAAAGTATTATAATCTGACATATGCTCAGCATGAGTCTCGCTTCCATGGATTTTACTGTCATTGGATTCTTGTAGATCATTTTCAACCTCTGAGCTAAAAGATCCTTGTCTTACATCATTCATTCTACAATAAGACCCATAATACAGACAATGTTCCTTTACAAGAGAGATTTGAGGAGTAGCTGGCAGTAAATGGCCTTCAGTGCTGAAGATGTACCTGTTCCAAAGCATAACAGAGAAAACCTGTAGCTCAATTTTATTGAAAAAGAAAAACTGCTAGTCAGTCTAATAAATGAATTAATGCACTTACTTGTATGGCCCGTTTTCCACAATGTTATCAGGACCCACAGCCAAATCAAATAGAAGCCACAGATACTTGACCTAATTGTAATCAGATCATATCAGCATGTCCCTCCAAAAATATAAAAAGAAAAAAGGTGAAAACCAAAATAACTACCGAAGTGTTTGGGACCAAAAGAATTCACTCTAACAAAAGACGTTATCTTATCAAGGAAGGAAAGAAATAAAATGTGATCATTATGTTAAGGGAGCATTTCCAAAATGGCAGATGCTGAAAGCCAGAAGAAGAAAAGAACAATGTATTTGCCACAAAATTTTTGAAAGAAGGGAGCCAGCATGTGTAGCATTGGCTCAGCTTTGGAAACTTAACTAATCAACAAATGAAAAAAGTTACCATAATTGCCTCAAGCCACACACAGATTATTCTGAACGCACCACACTATTCTCATTGTTATGCGCAACACACATTCAAAATGAAACTAATGATCTCTCCCTCTGACACACACGTCACCACAGCAAGTCTCTATGAGATGCCAAGTCCTAATAGAGATGTTAGTTGGAACCCTGGCCGAAGGTCAATCAACCTATCCTGGTGACCATCGTCAATGATGCATAATGAAAGGAGAGATACATAAACTCATGTAGAATTGGTTCTTACCGTCTCAGCGAGGAAGAAGCTCTCCATGTGATCTTCCTGATTGTGAGATTCAACATCTGAAATGTGACAATATCCACAAGTGCATCGGGCACCATACTGTAAACTAGCAACTATGTCCCGTCCAACATCAAGATATCTTCAAAGATGCAAATAGACGACAATTGAATTTATATGAATTAAGTAATATTGCAGGCAATACTATCAACAAATAAAATAGTTCATATAAGTAGAATAAGTAAATCCCGCTTCATAGGGAAAAAAGTATAAGATTTATGAATAAGAGAACAGAATTACAAAATGGATGACAATAAATCCTCCGAAAGCAAAAGAGGAATGAAAATAAAAAAGTCCAAGCACAGTTGAAAATTCTATTATTTACTTCTAATTTCTTCCAAAACTGCAAAGGTGGTTAAGAATTAATATGAACACAAGCTTATCAGCATCCAGCCTACTAATAAATAGGGATCAACAAAGATCACCCATGCTGTTAAAACCTTGCAAATCTGCATAGTAAATCAATTCACTAAATGGACACACAAGAAATTTTTAACATCATCCATTTATTTTGCTTTATAGACTAGCACTGAGTATTGAGCAATGATACTCATTCAATGTCAGCTAAAAGGTATTTCTTAAATAATATTTGTCTGGCAAAAGTCTTTTTAACAAAGCCACAGGAGAAATAATCTTGATGCCACTATCCAAAACTTTCATTCTCTCTATTTCCTCCTATCAACATCTATGTCCAGCTAATAATTCTGGACCAAAAATTCGTAATTTCATAAAACTTATACGACTTCAAATGTAAAAAGATGACAAATCTTAATTTTCATAGAACACAAGTTACTTCACAGTGGTCTCCTTATCGTCAATAATCCATTCTGATAAAATCTGCACTTCTTGTTATGTTCAAAGCAACATGAAGAGTGGCTACAAGGTTCTCATTCTTCATAATTTTACTCTTCTGAACGACCAGAAATGACAGTAGAGAATAGTATGGAACCAATAACAGGACCACTTGAAAGCAGTTATGAGCATACCTAGGATCTCTGGTAGCTTTGTACAACCAATATGTGCTCTCTATTAATTCTGGCCGCAGAGGGTAGCTTTTCTGCCCATGCTGAAAATAAGGGGATAGAAAAGAACGATTCACAAGTACTGTAAGAAATTTCTTAAATGCTTTTCTATCTGGCACACAAAAGAAAGACACGTTTTCATTAGCAGAAGATGTAAGCCTCAGGCTAAGCCAAATCTAAATGGTGATAAAGGGCTATTGACATCAGGGAGACAATAGATTGAAAGACACGTATATAAGATGGACACGTTAACTATTGGGCCAACACTAACTAACATTTGGTAGTGCGGGCATGCGTGTGTGTGAGAGAGAGAGAATTGCTGCTGGTTGAAGAGTGGGGTTAAATGATGGACCCATTAACTATTGGACCAAGACTAACTCACATTGGGTGTTGTGCGTGTGCACCTCAAATACCCCATGCAAGTTAGTCTTGCCAAATACATGTTAAATCAACATCAAACAGACTAAAATATCAAAACCATCCACAGAATCAAGCGACCACATATTGAGATTGCTATATCACTTTGACAAATCCAACTGATTAAATCCACCAAAAATGTAACCTAGATGCCAGAAAAAAGGTCTTAGTATTAAGCTTATTTACTGGATCATAGATAAGTAGTGCACAAGTTTCAACATAGAAATTTATTTACGATCAACTGATTTAAGAGGAGCTCATCAATATACAATAATGCTACTTGGAAATCCATGCCGACTCTAAACGCTCCCACATTGACTGTCAGGTAATCGTATGAAATATACCTGAACACTGAGGGTAGCAAGATTAAAACCCTCTGGTGTAAAACCATATCTTCTCCATACACTAAAGAAGGCAGCATGGGTACGAATTGCAGGATCAATGTCTCCAGCTAAAACCTTGTGAACATGAGGATACTTCACTAACCATTATGATTTTCGTACAAACAATCTAGGATCCATTGTTTATACTATATAGTATTAGAAATTAATAAAGAAAAACCTGGAGACCAGGCCAGAATGCCTGCAAACTATTAAATAATGGCCAGACAATAGCAGCAGAATCCATGTTCACTTCTACATACCTGCAAAAATAAACCAAAATCCAGGTTTCAAACGTGGGACATGTAAGAGTCATTTAGGAGATAGTCACAATCAAAGATCTTTTTAAATGCCTTTAGACATGGAAACCCTAGTTGCCTAGATAGTCACAAATCAAAGATCTTGGTTCAATCTATCAACCATGATTAGTGCAGACCCTGCGACTTTGTATTGAAGACTTGGGCAATGGAATGGGAGTTGTTTACTGGTGCCCTAGCGAGCAACGCAACCAGTGAAGACCAGCTAGAAGTGACGGACCCAGAAAAATTAGGTAGTGAGGACAAAACTTTCATTCAAGATGAATATTAATTATATTTTTAAAATATAATTTTAAATATTTATTAAATTGCATTAGAGGTAAAAATTCATTACTAAAGAAGAAGGTGTAAAACATAAAAGTATAATCACACATAAAATAAAACTGTCTTAATATGAATTAAATTTTTATATTTATTAAAATTATGTTTTTTTTAACTTTTTATCAAATATAATTTATTCATCTCTTTTGTATAGTATAGAAACAATCAAAGAAAGTTATTTTCTAACATATTGATCCCTCCATTCTCAAACTACTGTCATTTGAGATTACAACATATGGATAAGATTTCAGTTAAATAATTTTTTTAGGGGGATAAGTGAAACTTTTTAAGCAGGCAAATGAATTTTTCCTTTTCAGAGGGGCAATTGAAATTTTTAGGGTTATCGTGTTTAATTTTTCCTTGCATTGAGGGGCAATTACTAGGAGCTATGTCAGACAATGTGGCCAAGGAGTATAGAGAACTGTCAAAGGAACAAATCATGATGAGCATATTGAAAAAATGCCAGTAGCTGCTCAAATGCCGAGGATGCCATTAACGAGAATATTAATAACTCAAATTCTCAAGTTGATGATTAAATACTTTTGAGTAATGTACAAACAATTATCAAGTCTTGCCACAATTTATGTCGTTTGGCCTTTTCCATTTCTTCCTAGCTTTGCCTGAATTTTTAAAAGTTACATTATAAACAAGCATGAGAGTTCCAAAGAATTACAGGAGACGAGTCAACTGTAATTACAGGGAGGCACGTAAAGCCACAAACAATACCAAGGGTCATTGTAAAGATAATGCATGGCAGCAGCATAAGCTTCTTGAAATATATACAAGTACTCCTCATCTCCAAATAATAAATAAGCCTGAGAAAATTCATGAAGGAAGAATTAGAGAACATGATTGCCTGCTCACTAATGCTAAAATGAAATTACAGGATAACATAAAAAAGATATTTACATTCTGAGTTGGAACCGTAAAAAATATCAGCAAACAAAATACAGCTAGTATGGTTCAATAGGTTGGCAGAATAAATATACTAATTTTATATGCTTTAAATAAGTATATGATCCTTCATGCATAAAATGAAACCAAAATTGAGTAATTAGTTTATTTGTTTCTCTGTCAACAGAGTGAAAGATTTTTTTTTTTTATTTATAAATTTTTGTTTGTTTAAAGAGAAGGATTCATTTATTAAAGAAGAAACAACAGAATCAGAGGATAAGGTTCCCACTCTGCCTTCTAAACACTCAACAACGACCAAAGTAAAGGAAAACAGAAATGAAAAGAAGAGAACAACATTATCAAAAAAAGAGCCATCTGATCCCAGGAATTCTAATTACGAAACCCATCTATAGAACCATGAGCCAGGCACCAGTTATGTAAATAAAAGATATTGTTACCCTTATTACACAAACAATCCAATTGCATTGTGGCTACAAATGATTAAAGGGAATCAATCAAGATGGTGACTAGGTAGAACGGTGAATTACCATGCATAGAAATGAATAACGTGAAATAGAAATCAACTTCAGTGATCCTTTTAATATTGAACTTTCAATGGAGTTATCAATAAAATGAATATAGTTCAAATGTTTATGAAAAATTCAGAGATTGAGGAGCAAAAATATGTTTACAATGTTCCTCATTTTGTTTTTGCCCCCTCTTTTTTAATCGTCCCCCAAGTCATAAATTTGTAATCCTTTTTTTGGCACCCCCCCCCCCACAAAAAAAAAAACCTTTGCTAAGTCTCTTCTTTAATCATGAAATAAACAATAAAAATAATCATTCCAGTCGTGGCCACTGACCTTTAACAGGTACTCATAGAAAGAATCAATACTAGTTCCTATCCCAGCATCCTGCAAAAATCATAGAGATGGCTGTAGTTTCTGACACTAGTAGAAGGAATTGGTGCCACTGAGGCTAGGTTTATTAAGACAGAGAGAAGATAGATCAATGAAAAGATGGAAAGTAATATCAAGCAACTGATAAACAATATAAAGTTAAGATTAACGTGATCATCGCCAGAACTTCAGAGATGTGGCATATATATATAATTTTCTTGAAACCATTTATGATTTTTGTCAAGTGAAATCTATGCAGTACCTTCTGGGTCCATTCACCAGTAAAAACATTAATATGAGCACCAACTAGATTAAGCCTTGAACGTTGGGCCCAAAGTCCGCGCACTGCATTCTTAGTCACTTGTTCAAAAACTGCAAATCAACAAATGTACGCATGAAGAACTGTGAGAAATTAACCCAACCCCTCCCTTCCCCCAAAGGACATAATGATAAAAGCAAGGATTTGAGAATTGACCAGACTGGTCGGTTTAGCCAGTTGAATTGGGAACCAGTCAAGTGTCCAGTCCAAAGATGGAGGGAAACCAGGCGAAGAAAAAGTGAGGTAAACATTGAAAATAGTCCAAACAAAAATTACTCTATGAAAATATTCAATACTATATATATATAGAAATCCCTAATCCCCGTCCAGTTTTGTGAAAGATCATAGAATTTTACATATGGTAAATCCTCAACACAAATGTCATTCTTCTACAACACAGGCTAATATGTGATTGCCAGCAATCAATCTCAATAAATAGCAAAGAAAGTGGGGTCCATATAGCCATGATTTAGATACCTGAGGATGTAAATGATTAACAAAAAGTTGATTAACAATGGAACAACTATACTGATTGTTCTATAGAAGAATTCACGACATTAAAGGAAAATCTAAAATCAACAAATTAAAGGATGATTCTCCACAGGGTATCCTTGAAAGAAACCACAATCTCAGTATCAGCAAAATGGTAGAAAGACTATCCTGTTCTATGGCAAATCTCAGGACGGAGAAATCTCAACATTTTAAGCATTTCATGGTATCCAAACGCACTACAAGACAGTAACATGACAAACAGCCACATGGATGAATCAAGATTAATTCTAAATAAATTATACAATGAATGATATTTCAAGGAGACGCTAGGCCCTTGTTTGCAAAATGAGATACAAAGATTTTACCCAATTAGTAATGATATTTCATGGATTTCAACTTATTATCGGTGAATTTATTTTCCCAGTCAGTACAAGGGTTACATGCTAAAATAATACCTAGTTCCAACTTTGCAATTAAGTACTACATTCAAGCCCTTCCTAGAGACTACTTTAGTGGCAAATAAGATCCAAGAAAGAGGGAGAAATGTAAACTTACTGGGATCATTTGTCAAACGGCTCAGAACTCCAAATTCAAGAGTCAATGTCCCACCTCCAGCTGTTGAAGTTATCTAAGCACCAAAGTAATTATTATAAACTCGTTACAAAAAAACAGAAAAGAGATTGAAGGCATGGAATACCTATGTTAAAGACAGTAGCAAGCTAAGAAGTTTTAACTCATAATCATCAAGTTCTAGTACTAAGCTGCGTTAATCATATATACTTCAATATGTAAATATTTGTATTTATTATGGATAGGATTTAATAGGAATTTTTCTTATTCCCTGTATCCCATAATTTCGGCCTACATAAATTGGCCATCTCTGTATATATCTCCCCGATTTTGTTTGATGAGAAGCAAAGAGAGTTATTTTCACTCCCCTCTACATAAACAATGCTCCATAAAAGATTGCATTTATTTTATCTACACCCGTTTTCTAAAGTAAATACAATTTAATTGTTGGGAACTTAACCAGACCAGTGAGTAGCAAAGATTTTGGACATACAGATTACAAGAGAAGGGGATGAGGCATACATAAAAACTTTACCTTGCTTTCATGTTTATCAACTCCATGTAACAAATTTACTGAACCAAATGGAATTCCTGCAATGCAACATTGCATGAGATAGTAGGCAAGTAATGGACCGGAAAACTAAACGATGTTATCTATAAAATTATGGTAAAAACCACTAGCAAGAAAGTTTTCATCCATCTTACCAAATAAATAGTGGATATATCATAAGGACTGATAAGAACAGTTGAACAATACATTTTGACGTCAAAGGTATAAGAATCCTATATGAACTGTACATTTATGACTTCAGACATGTATGGAATAATAAAACTTTAACCTAAAATAAAAAATAAACTCATAATTTAAAGTAAAAGGAAAAAAGGAATCTGTTATGTAATCATAATTTCGTGTAACTTAAGTAAGGGTAGATGAGTCTTTTAGGATCTTTCGGCAGTATTAGTTAGTTAGTTAGTTAGCTCGTTAGTTAATTCTTTTCCGTTTTCCTTCTATAAAAGGGTACTCTCTGGACTCAATCAGAATGTGTTCATTGTTAATAAAGTCAGGATTATCCCCAAATTCTCTCTGTTCCTCAATCTCTTCTTCCTCTCTGCTCTCTCTATTCTTCTTAATTCTCTCTGGCTCCCTCTCTCTCTGCGTTTCTGATTACAGAAGTGTAACAAGTGGTATCAGAGCCACCGTTACTCGGACCTACGCTGCGTACCTGAGTCTTTATGGTCACCACCCGAGCGAGAGCAAGCGACCCAGTCATGGACGAGAGGCTCCAAGTCGTCGAAAACCAGATAGGCACTGTTGCTACGCTTCAAGAATCCGTCTTCCATCTGTCGACACAGATTCAAACCATGGCGCGGAACATCGACGAGGTGAATACGGCCCTTCGCAATTTCGAACAGACTCGCAACGGGCATCGGCAGAACGGGAATGGTAATGGGCGTCCGCGTGCGACCCAGTTCACCAAAATGGAGTTTCCCAAGTTCGCGCGCGGTGACGTCTTGGCATGGATACTCAAATGCGAACGATTCTTTGAACTCGACGAGACGCCAGCGGAAGCCAAGGTCAAGATCGCAAGCCTGCACCTTGATGATCGTGCATTTCAATGGCATCTGGCGAATGAGAAATTGTGGGGTGCGAATCCACCGACGTGGGAAGAGTACGCTGACATTATCAAGGACTGCTTCGGACCGGCCTACGAGTCACCCATAGGCGACCTTCTGCAGCTTCGTCACCAAGGGTCACTTGCGGACTTCAATGAGGAGTTTGACCTCGTGGCGGCAAAGATCGGGTTCTCCGAAGAACAGCTAGTCGATGCGTATCTGAACCTGATAAGAGAGGAATTGGCGGGCCCAGTCCGAATGTTTAAGCCCAGGACCATGCGTGAAGCAAAGAGTCTTGCACGCATGCAAGAACTCACGACGGATAGACAGAACACCAAGAAAGGGTCAGATAAGGGACTTCGGTACGCGACACCTGTCAATGCGGTGGCTCCCCTAAACCGTTACACCACTACACCGAATAAAGAAGTCCTAACGATATATGGAGCCCAGAACAGAGAAAGAAACACCACGTCCGTCCCCAAGACTCAATCTTTCAATGCCAAAGCCATCCCGAGGCTTCAGAAAGCATTGACCGCCGAGGAGGAAGCTGAACACAGACAAAAGAATCTGTGTTTTTATTGCCATGAGAAATTCTCCAGGGATCATAAATGCCCCCAGCGGCAGAAGCTTCAGCTTCACTTCATTGAAATTGGAGACGGCCCAGATGCAGAAAATGAACCAGAAGAGGGCCCCGCTATCAGTGAAGATGAAACATTACCACAAATTTCACTACATGCTATCACAGGGGTCGACGAAGCAGACTCTATGCGGCTCCAGGGTCACGTGGGAAGAAGACAAATGCAAATATTAATTGATAATGGGAGTACCCATGATTTTCTTGATTTGTCATTTGCAAAAAGACTTGGTTGGAGAACTGATTCTGTGCCACCCTCTTATGTACAGGTAGCTGGTGGAAAGAGACTGCAAGTCCATGGCTTCTGGAAGGATTTCCAGTGGAGGATGCAGGGGCTAGATTTCACATTTGATTTCAGGATCCTGGACCTAAACACTTATGACATGGTACTCGGGGTCAAGTGGCTCAAAAGCATAAGGAATGCATTTTGGGATTATGAGAGAATGGTTATGTATTTTTGGAAAGACAATCAGGTTTGCAAACTGCAAGCTAGCCTACCGAACCCCTGGAAGCTTATTCCATCAGAAAAAGCGGAAGTGCACCTCGTCCAAGAAAGTCAGAAATTCCTTCTGCAATTAATTCAAATACAAGACAGGGAGTTGGAATGTTTTTCTGTTTCTGATGTCGATGATAATTCTTCTGCCTCTATTAAAAGTGTTTTAGATGATTTTCAGGATGTTTTTCTTGAGCCTAAGACCCTACCACCGCTAAGGAAGAGTCACAACCATCCTATTATCTTACAAGAAGGCACTGACCCCATTAGTATAAAACCTTATAGGTATCCTGCAGCACAGAAGGATGTCATTGAGCGGTTGGTAAATGAGCTGCTGCAAACTGGGGTCTTACAGGACAGCTCTTCCCCCTTTTCAGCACCTATAGTGTTAGTCAAGAAAAAGGATGGATCTTGGCGCTTGTGCATTGACTACCGGGCCCTAAATAAGCGCACGGTGAAAAATCAGTACCCAATCCCTCTTGTAGAAGACCTATTTGATGAGCTTAGTGCAGCAAGGTGGTTCACTAAGCTTGATTTGAGGGCTGGTTATCACCAAATCAGAATGGAACCACAAGACGTGTACAAGACAGCGTTTAAAACACATTCTGGCCACTATGAATGGCTGGTTATGCCATTTGGCTTAACCAATGCCCCTGCCACATTTCAAGGGGCTATGAATGCTATTTTTAGACCCTATTTACGTAAATTTGTCTTAGTATTTTTTGATGATATACTAATATATAGTTCTACCCTTGCAGACCACAAATCCCACCTGGGGGTAGTACTACAGATCTTAAGGGACAATCAATATTACGTAAGGGAGGACAAGTGCACGTTTGCTGCCACATCAGTAGAATACTTGGGACATATTATTGGCCGAGGAGTGGTTTCGACTGATCCTAAAAAGATCCAGGCAGTAAAGGATTGGCCTGAGCCTGCAAATGTGAAGCAACTACGAGGGTTCCTCGGATTGGCCGGCTATTATAGACGGTTCATAAAGAGTTATGGCATCATTGCCAGACCTCTTACCAATTTGTTAAAAAAGAACGGGTTCCAGTGGTCACCTGAAGCTAGTGGAGCTTTTCAACAGCTTAAAGATGCCCTCACTACAGCTCCAGTACTCACTCTGCCTGATTTTTCTAAGCAATTTGTGGTAGAGGCAGACGCATGTGGACTAGGCATTGGGGCAGTACTTATGCAACAGGGGCAACCCATTGCATATTTTAGCAAGGGTCTATCTCCAAAGCATCAGAATCTTTCGGTTTATGAGAAGGAACTAATGGCAGTGGTCATGGCTGTCTTACAATGGCATCAGTACCTAGAAAGAAGGAAATTCATTATTAAGACTGACCAGCAAAGTCTTAAATATTTGCTAGGACAGCAACTTAACACTCCTTTTCAGCGATTTTGGGTAGCTAAACTTGCTGGGTTTGATTATGAAATTCTCTACAAAAAAGGGGATAATAACTCAGCAGCAGATGCTCTTTCTAGGATGCCACGTCAACAACTATTGCAGATGGCATTTGATACATCCTCTCCTGAACTCCTACATAAGATTAAAGCTAGTTGGGACCAGGATGAGGCGGTTTCAGCCATTAGACAAAGGGTTCAGCAGCATGATGGTCAGTGGAGTCATTTTTCTTGGGATGGTGATTTATTAAGGAGGAAAGGCAAGCTGGTTATAGGGTCTGATCAGGCTCTAAGACAACAGATTCTGGAATGGATGCACGCTAGTCCCCAAGGAGGACATTCTGGTATTCAAGCTACCTACCAGCGTATTAAAAGCCTCTTTTGGTGGAAGAAGATGATCCATGACGTTGCAGATTTTATTAAACACTGTGACACATGTGCACGGTGTAAGTATGAGACTTCCGCTTCTCCTGGATTACTACAACCACTGCCTATTCCTAGCAGGATTTGGGAAAGTATTGCAATGGACTTCATTGATGGGCTTCCTAAATCCTATGGGAAAGATGCTATATGGGTCATTATTGATAGAATGAGTAAGTATGCTCATTTTATCCCCCTCTCTCATCCCTATTCTGCATCTACCTTGGCTCAGTTGTTCATGGACCATGTGTTTAAATTACATGGAGCCCCAGCAGAAATCATTAGTGATCGGGACCCTATCTTTGTAAGCAATTTTTGGAAGGAGTTTCTAAGAGTGATGGGTGTGGATCAGAAATTATCTTCCTCCTATCATCCCCAAACTGATGGTCAGTCTGAAGTTCTTAATTGCTGCTTAGAAACCTACTTGCGATGTATGACTTGGGAGAAACCCAAGGAATGGAGCTCTTGGTTATCTCAGGCTGAGTGGTGGTATAACACCAACTTTCACTCTTCTACTAAGGCTTCTCCCTATGAATTGCTATATGGTCAGAAGCCCCCGGTTCACTCTCCCTACCTGCCTCATAATTCTGTCCTTGAAGCAGTTGATCGAAGTTTTACTGCCAGGGAAGAGGTGACTTCTATTCTTAAACACCACCTCCATCGGGCTGCTAACATCATGAAACAAAAGGCTGACTCTCATCGGATTGACAGAGAATTTGCTGTAGGCCAGTGGGTTTTCTTAAAGTTGCAACCTTACAGACAGGTTTCTGCAGCTTCTAGGAGTTCCCAAAAATTGGCACCCCGGTATTTTGGCCCCTATCAGGTATTAGAAAGGGTTGGGAAGGTTGCCTACAAGCTGAATCTTCCTCCAAACACCAGGATACATTCTGTTTTCCATGTTTCCCTGTTAAAGCTTTGTCCTGACCCCTCGGTCAAGCCTAGGCATCCACCGATCGGTTTTCCTGAACTCCCCACTGTTCAGGAACCTGAGAAGATTTTAAATAAAAGGGTGGGCAGACGGAGACAGCGACTAATTACTGAGATTCTGGTCCAGTGGAAGGGGAGACCTGATGAGGAAGCATCCTGGGTGCCCCTCTTTCAGTTTCAGCAGCAATTTCCTAGCTTTGTAGTTCAGGATCCTTGAGGGCAAGGATCTTTTGAAGAGGGGGGCATTGTTATGTAATCATAATTTCGTGTAACTTAAGTAAGGGTAGATGAGTCTTTTAGGATCTTTCGGCAGTATTAGTTAGTTAGTTAGTTAGCTCGTTAGTTAATTCTTTTCCGTTTTCCTTCTATAAAAGGGTACTCTCTGGACTCAATCAGAATGTGTTCATTGTTAATAAAGTCAGGATTATCCCCAAATTCTCTCTGTTCCTCAATCTCTTCTTCCTCTCTGCTCTCTCTATTCTTCTTAATTCTCTCTGGCTCCCTCTCTCTCTGCGTTTCTGATTACAGAAGTGTAACAGAATCTAACTTAAACCTCAGGTAAAAGAAACCATAAAATGGTAAACAATCCAAGAAAGCTGAACAGGGAACAAAATAAAGCCATAATATAAATTACTAAAACAGTAAATAAATACTTCCTAATATCATATCAACAATTTAGCAATATTGTTCAACAATTGGGAAGATTGCAAGCTAAGCAAATCACTCAATATTCAATGTGCACTGAGCTTTTGGTCTTCACATATTTCTAGTTCTCTATGCAAATGTTACAACAGGAATTGGTCTGGGGAACGACACGAGAGATCCAAACAGAAATAGCATAGATTTTTATATTTTCAATTTTAATCCTCACAGTTCAGCCAGCTTGTCTAGGGTCTTAGTAAAAGATTAGTTGAGTATTTTGGTTATTGGTTACGATAGGCATCCAAGGTAAGAAGAATCTTAAAATATTTTGTCATTAGCAATTTCAAGGATATAAATGGTGAAGTTTGTTACATCTTTATCTATACAAGTTTAATTACTTTAGTCAATAAATTCCAAAGGGTAAGTAAAGACTGAATTTTTAGAGATCCCCATTGTTTGTCTAAGTGATTGGATCCCTATACTTTTAGAAATTTTTAATTTGGTCCACACTAAATTCTGTAAATGTACCATCAGGTTACATTAACAATGGCACAGCCAATAATGTGTTATCTTAACCGGATGTGTGGTAAGAGCAAAGCCTGAAGGCTCTTCCCATTGCTGTCAGGGAAGCTGAAAATTTAGCAGCATCAAGTCCAAGAAAAACAATTTAACCTTGTTTGAAATCAAGTATTCTTTTCTTTTATGCTCATACGTCATATTCTCTGTTAAGTGGTTGTCTTATTCTCCTTTCCTGTTGTTATTTTTGGAAGTCTAACTCCCTTGAGTAGTCGCATTTCTCTGATCGTCAATCTACCTGACTATGATTTTCAGATTTGCATCCCTCGGATTAACCGAAGTTCTGATACCACGTTTGAACAGAGAGTGTTTTCAGATGAATATGCTTTTTAGTATATGTTATTCACTTGAAAATGAGGTACACAAATAGGACTCAAGTTGTAGCAGAATCCTGATTACAATAAATGGGTATTAATGAGGAATATCACCCTATAAAGTTACCCCTGCCTCTAGGACTTAAGACAGGAAATATAGATAAATCAGCAATGGCTATATGATTAGTGGAATCCTAGTTGACTTCGTTTTCTAACACTTGTTATTCTAATTCACTTTAATTAAACTTTTCTATTAAAAAAATGAGAAGCAATACCTGTGGGAGTGTCAAATGCAGGTAACAACCTCCTGCCAAGATCTTCAGCCAAGTTCAGTAACTGATTGTCATATGATGGAACTCTCATACCCTGCAGCAAATGCATGTATACAAGATTCACTCTCCAACTTCAAATGTCAATGTAAATTCACTATATACAAATTGAAACACTATAATTACAGTGTAAGCACCTAGAGAATAAAAATCATAAACAAACAACAAGAGAAACACAACTTTCACCAGAATAAACCCCCTAAATGATAAAAACAGAAAAAAATAAAAAGGTGTGAAGAAGAAAAGACTCCATATTTGCTCCAATTGCTAGATTAAATATATTCAAACTTTGGAAACCTTCAGCAGCAAATTTAGATTGGCAACCTTAACGATTCGATGTATAGAATGCTTTCTTGAATGAGGATCAGGAAGAAGTTTCAACAGAAATCCATCCTGGCTTTGGCACTAATAACATCAAGGATAAGGCATGCAAGCTAAATAAGGCCTTGTACAGGCTCAAGTAGTCGCCAAGGACCTATTTTACATTCCACTAAAGCAACAGAGATACATAGCCTTGAGTTAGGGCAAGCTGATCATACAATCTTATTGACATCGACAGAAACACATGCACATGCACAATTATCTATGCTAAGCTAATAATTTTGTGATGAATCAAGCATAAAATGAAGAAATCCATCTAGTTACCTGATGTAAAACCTACAATAAAATATTGCCCATATTATATTAGATTATAAGAGAATCGACATATATGGATGCATATAGCTGATACCGTAGCATAATCACTGGCAATTAGATGAGCAGAAAGTAAGCCTCCAAGCACCCGAATAGTGGTTTCAAAAACAGAAACTGTTTTATTCTGCAAAAAAGTGTCACCAACCAGGTTCAGAGACACACATTTAAAGTATTCATATGCAAAGATATAAGACATGTGGCAGCAAAAATTGTAAAAGATAATCAATAATTTTCTTATATAAAATGAGAACAAGCTAATAAGGATAATATTGAAGGAATTTATCATAAAATATTGACTAGAAAAAGCACATGATACCAAATCAAGTGCTTTAGAATCTGAGCATCAAAAGTCAGCCCACGGAAATTTTGATCTGAATGAACAAGTTACTTAACCAGGAATACAAAAAACAATGCGCACTTAACATATTCAAAGATTAATTAATAGGTGATTGTTGATAAGTCTAAAATGCATCCTATTAATCACACAATAGAGCTCTGTCCTCAAATAAAGAAATAGCAATTAAAAAATAAATGAAAAGCTCCATGTACATATGCTAAAAGAAGAATGGAAAACTAACTAATGCCCTTCACTCACTATATCAAACCGAAGATTTTTACCAATCCATTCAATGGAACTTGTGAAGCGTTCATGGTCACCAAGTAAAGCCAACATGTCTAACGAGTCAATCTGTTTTGGACACATTACAGACATCAGCATTGCAGACATATTCTTATTTTCTTATTATAACTCAATATATATGAATTTTTCTTACCAAAGTTAAGGCATAACCACCAAGGGAATCTTCTCCCCCACATGAAAGAGGTCTTAATTCATCAAGTGGAAAAGCATGCTCCATATATCCATTAAAAGCATGATAAAACATCCCACGAACCTACATTTTCACAATAAAGAAAAATTAATCAGCTAAAGAGAAGCCATAGCTTCAGCAGCAAATATAATGCAACTACCCATTATGTGATACAGGTTGAAATAGAGAACCCCAACCCGAGAGACATTATTTTGGTCCAAATTCGCAACAGCACAAGACATTGGAACATCAAGTTCACTGTTCAGTATGCATAATCAAATCATGCCCTATGGTTGAAAGGCAAGGAACTTATTCAAATCAAAGCTGCTTCATAAGAACCATTGAATCAATGTCGTTCTCCCCTCAATATATGTCGCCCAATAAAAAGTCCTGTCAATTTTACAAGCTATTCTAATGTCATATAGAAATCGTTCCCACTCTGAATTTTGCTGCATTCCAACAGCCAAGGGTCGTTAAACTATTAGATAATGCAGTCTCAATGAATTAGCGCATCAAATCGATGTGCAACAACTGAAAGATCAGCAGGTACTGTAAGCAAGATTCCGATTACCACTCACCAACCAAAAAAAAAAAAAACTTTATTCGATATATATAATAAGATGCAAAGATGAAAATCACACGAGGAGCCACCTCATCTCGAAGTTCTTTCGCTTCCTCAGGGGTTACGCCATCGGCGAGCGTTGTTTGTAGAAAACAAACAGAGGCTAATACGAAGCATGAGAAGATCTGAATCAATAGTTGAGCTTTCATGGGTTCCAGTGTCTCCGTTTTCACTCTCTCCGACTTAGCGGAGTAGCAATTCAGGAAGACAGCGCCATTATCAGATTCTCTTGCCCCAGCTGTGATCTCTCTCTCCCGGCAGCTAGCTTCACTGCACGATGTGTAGAAAAGGGGGAAAAATTTAAGAGCAAAGCAAAGTCCCTATTTTATGTTATTTAATTTAACGCGGGTAAAAGATTAAAAATAAAATAAAATATATCCAATCTTATTTATAAGTTATTTTTAGGGGAAATTACAAAAAAAGACTTTGGAATTGCAAAAACGCAGATAGGGACCCTTGACAACTTCACTTTGGGTTTTGACAACTTCAGGATATATTATTCTTGTCAAAACCTAAAGTGAAGTTGTCAATGGTCCCTATCTGCGTTTTTGCAATTCCAAGGTCTTTTTTTACAATTTTCCCTTATTTTTAATATATTTTATGTAGATTAATAAAAAATCTTAAATCTTATTAACTATTATTTAAAATTTAAATTTTTAATTTTATCTTTATTTAATACGTATTATATCTCATGAAAATAAAGTTAATATAATAATAAATAAAAGAAAAAGTTGTATATTCATATAAAAATTCTTTCTCTTCTCTTCTTTCTCTACCTTAAAAATAGTATTTATTTTTCGCTGTTAAATCTTGTAATAAAATGTAAGGTGTATATATAGAAGTTTTAAATAATTTTGCCCCTGTGGGGCACTAAATTATTGTATTAGTATGATTAATGTGATGTGTAAGTTATTTGCAGGCTTGCCAGAAATTTTACATAATTTTATTATATGATATATATATTTTTTTAATCTCATGGATCAATCAAGTAATGTTTATCTAGATTTAAAAGGTTTCATTTTTCTATTATTATTCCCATAAAAAATTTCTGCTAACATAAGATATTTATTAATAATTACTAGATAAACATTGCCATAAAAGTTCTTTGAATTATAAGATTTGCGCTAGCATTAGTGAGATGAAGATATACTATTAAGATCCAAGAGAAACTCAAAAAACAAAAAGAGGGAACCCAAAAATGAGAGACTAAATTTTTGAATTATTTCGATAACTGCTATTTATTTGACTCTATTTTTGGTTCATATATTTATTTTATGTTTTAATTGTTATCGATTTTCTTATAAATAAAGATTATTGATTATTGATATAGAAAGATGGTAGAAAAAAATTTATGCCATGTAGAAAGAGCAAGTCATTAAACAGATTGTCTCTTATAATTTTGATTCATAAGCCATCACTATGTCGTACTGAATATTAATTAAAAAGAATAATTTCACTTACAATTTTTTCAGGAAAAATCCCATATAAATACCGTTTAAATTTTGAAATTCCAGATTAGTCATTCTAATTTCACAAAGGACAAACAGGTTTACAGGTATTGAATTGGGGCTTACAAATTTTAACAAATTACCTCAATGTCCTTTTTCTCATCTTTTTTTGTCTTCTCTTTCACTTCATGTTCAAAGAGTTCTTTTCTCTCTCTTCAGGTTCTTTTCTTCTTCAAAGGGCGGCAGAACTGAAGGCTAGGAATGAACTGTCAAAGGGTTCGATGAAGAAGAAAAAGATGTGGTCTCTCCTACGGCGTTCTGGTATGTTCTGAATAAATATTTCATTATGCTTGGGGTTTGAGACTTGGTACCTCTTGTCTTTCATCTTCCCTTCTCAATCTCATCACCAATGTTATAAAAGGGGGGGAGAGAGAAATAAAGTTTAGAGAAGAAGCAGAGAAAAAATAGGGAAGAGAGAGAGAGAGAAGAAGAGAGGGAGTGAACCTGTAGGATTATGTAAGTAAGTAGAAGTTGATGGTGGGATTTGGGTTGTTCATTTTTGTGGTTGCTTCATGGTGAAATAGGGACAGGATTATTGGGTTTGAGGGTTTATATTCAGTATTTGGTGAATGATGTAACAAAAATCTAAAAATGATGGCAAGCAATTACGTAATGCAACTGCTGTCATATGCTTATTGGTTTTTGGTAAATACCATTATGTGAATGGTATATTTCATTACACATGTAGTTAATTATAAAAGTTAATGGTTCAATGTTTACTGTGATGTACTTTATGTGCACGTCCACTAAATGGTTTATTTATGTTTACAAATTGCACATCTGATGAAAACAGGTTTATAAAATCCATTGAAGAAGTGGTCACTTTCACTATGAAAGTTATAAATCCCACTATGTGTTTTGTAAAATTCAGTATGAAATTTTATTGGTGGTCAAAAACAAGTTACCTATATCCCAGAAATAGGTTGTAAAACCCATTAACAAACTGGTCACTTTCACTACGAAAATTGTAAATCTTAATATATGTTTTATAAAATTTAGCATGAAATTTTGTCGGTTTTTAGAAACAAGTTGCTCATCCCTTAAAACAGGTTGCAAAACCTATTTAAGAAGTGGTCATTTTTACTACGAAAATTGTAAATCCCACTATATGTTTTGTAAAATTCAGTATGAAATTTTATTAATTTTTAGAAACAAGTTGCCCATTCCTTGAAAACAGGTTGCCAAATCCATTTAAGAAGTGATAATTTTCACTACTAAAATTATAAATCCCACTATGTGTTTTGTAAAATTTAGCGTGGAATTTTATTGGATTTTAGAAACAAGTTGTCCATCCCTTAAAAATAGGTTGCAAAACCTATTAAAGAAGTGGTCATTTTCACTACGAAATTTATACATCCCACTATGTGTTTTGTCAAATTTAGTGTAGAATTTTATTGGCTTTTAGAAACAAATTGCCCATCTCCTGAAAACATATTGCAAAACTCATTAACAAAGCAGTCACTTACACTATGAAAGTTGTAAATCTCAATATGTGTTTTGTAATATTCAGGGCAAATAGTTTAATAATACTAGAAAATCAGGCAGCTTCATATTCCCTGAAAACAGTTTTATGCAAAGAACAGAGACAGAACCAAAAAGATGAATGCTAGACAATAACATTTTAAGCTTTGGAGACTCATTGAAAATGCTTTATGAAGAACAATATTCAAGCTTCCTATTTGTTTATCGTAGTTGGCGTTACTTCAGCGACCTCCTCGACTGAGGCAATCTCAGGAAGTACGAGTTATTTCAAACAGGGCAATGTACTTCAATGATAGTAACCAACTTCAACGACGACAATCTACTCCTGCAACGGGGGCAATGTGATTTCAAAGAACCCTTTTTAGTGACTGGAGGAACTTGGATTTAGTTTTCTTTTAGATTTCATTATAATAAAGGTAGCTTTTAACAGCATTTGTGAAGATATTAACAACTTTCAAAATGTGTTTCACAACCTCTTTATTTGTAACAATTTCTAATATATTTGTATATAATTTTACTGAACGTACAATGAGAATAATAACTTATGAAATAAAAGTAACCATTTGCATAAAGAGTTTTATAATTTGTTATAAGCTATTTCTAGACATTTTTGCAAAACAAGTAAAAAGAATCACAACTTGCGTAATGAAAGTTGTCATTTACATTAGGGGATTTGCAACTTGTTTATTTGCAACTATTTTTAATGCTTTTACCCACAATTTTACTAAATATATAATGAAAATAACAACTTACAAAATAAAAGTGACTATTTATGTAATGAGTTTTGCAATCTATCTTAATCAATGTGTTAGTGTATGAAAATATTCAACCGATTTTTCTGTCTTACTCTAGGGGTGTATTAGTTATTTTACCAAAATCTGTAAATTTCAAATTCATACTTCATGTCCATTTAGTCATTTCATTTATTTGGATCACCTTTTTGTCTTTTTCAATTTCAATGAGTATTTTTTTGTCATTTTCCCAATTTTTTTATAAAAAGTTAAATGACATTAATAAAAGGACAAGCATTTACAAGGTCGTAACTAATACTGAGAAATAAAAAAAAAAAAAGCCAGAAAAAGAGTTTAAAACATTCACATCTATCAGAGAAAATAAGTGTAAGAAGGAAATGATGTCTTCGTAATTCCTGATCCTACTGTTATACGATTAAAAGGGGTTCAATCAGCCCTATAGGTTAAAATTATATTTTTTAAAAAGTTAAAACGATACATTTTAATATTTTTTCTAATTATTGGCACCGTGTTTTTGGCCCATGTGGCGGTAAATAAATTAAAAAAAAAAAACAAAAAGATACACTGTAAATAGTGTTTAAAAAAAAAAAAAAGATACACTGTAAAGGGGCAAAGATAAATACTGTTTAAATATTATTGCTTGATCGGCCATTAGGAATAATAATCTATTAAAACTATAACAAGGGACATGACCAATTATCTTAATTATGTCATATAAAGACTGAAAAATGTTAATTATTAAGCTAATGAACGTGTGATCTATTTGAGTAAGACCAAAACTATAGTTTCAGAAGTACTTTTACGATATATGAAGTAAATATATAGAGGAGTTTGTCTCGATTTGTAAAAAAGTGCTTCTGAAAAGTGTTTATTGGGCTACCCAAACACCCCCTAGTGACATTCTTATTCGCCTCGTCCTAACTCCTGTCAAATTATGGGTTGATCATGCATTCCGTCACTTGCAATCCCCCATGCTTTAGCATACTCTTCTAATCTTTAATATAAAACTCATTTAACTAATTCAATTATATTAAAGAAGTTAGGTAGGTTAGTTAATTATAAGAAATATAACATGTTTTTCTTAAAACACTATAATCATCTTCCTTAATATCCTCCCTTCCTTTTCTATTTAATTATAGTTAAAGAAGTATCTATAGAGATAATTTAGAATAAATCAATAAATGATAAATATTACATTTTATATTTAAGACCAAAACCAACTCAATAATTAAGTCTTATCGAAGACCAAAGGAGTATTTTAGTTTCTACCAGGCCCAAAAAAAAAAATTTTACAGGCTTCGGCCTTCACTTGTAACAGGGAAAAAAGTAATAATTTATTTATTATTTGTTTTTTTTGCATGAACAAATGAATCAATTTGGGGTAGGGAACATTTTTATATAGGCTTCCTTGTAGAAAAAATTGGCCATTCAATTGATGGAAGTAATGATTCAGAGTTAAAAATAATTTAACGATATTCGGATTAATCTATTTTTAATTTTATCATATAAAAATGTTCTACAAAATAGCATCCAATTTTTTCTTTTTGCGAATTTTTAATTAGTTACATTGTAACAATGGTTCCTAATTAGTTTGTATAAATTTAACTGATTCATGGCGTGACAAATGCTCAAGTTGACACCAGTTGTTGGGGTAACTTCAATGTAATAACAAGAACAGACATAGCAATAGAGATGAGACAACAAAATAGTGGTACTATGAAGCTGATGAGACAAGAATAACAGTGGTAAGTTATAATTGTGTAACCGCAGTTGTATCCAACCTGCTATCAGGTTCTGGTAGTAGAAAACTATTGAGTGCCTCCAGGGATAAACTAATCAGCATTGAATTTGATTTACAGAGGACAGGAAAAAACTACCATAATTAAAGCAGCCGTAAGTGAATCTACGGTGAAGAATTCTCAATCTAACCCTAACAAAGCACTACATATATATGATCATCATGATAACCAGTAAGTAAAACAGCATCTCAGCTCTTAGATTGCAAAATATAAACCACCCTGGACGACATCATGTATGTCTTAAGTATCTCTAGGAAGAGCAGGAAGCTAAAATGGATCATGGAATGCCCGTTTACATCATCATGCCTGCAACAAGGAAATGCAAGAAGCATTACAATTTCAGAGAGAGAGAGAGAGAGAGAGAGAGAGCATCATAAAGTAAAATAGCCAATCCAATAGAAAGAAAGGTGACCAATTTACGCAGAATTCATCAGAAGACATCTAGTCAGATAAACAAGAATTGCCGTTGGGCTGTGAATTTTAGCAATTAATGAAGAAAAACTGAAGAAGATAGTCTTAAGTGATGCAAAAAAAGGAAGCCTATCCCATTAGCACAAAAGAGCACTTGGCTACAAGAGCAGCGAGCATGCCTACAGGGATTGGTGGTTATATCTACGATGTCCATAGGCATGGCCACAACCACCAGAGCCACTCAGCCCATTATTATGGACATTGAGGTGCCTGATTCAATATTGCAGATTAGATATAAATCTCAGGCTCTGCCCTTTACCCTTTTTCCTGGTGTTAGCGATTAATGTTTCTTCATAGAGAATAATTTTTCTCAGGATATTATAACGCCCCTCAACACAAACAAAAGTCCTTTGGGCTTTAAGTATGAACATAGTTGCAGTCCACATGCCTGTGTTGCAAGTCAATTTAATCAAGAAATGATAAGCAGCCAGGATCGTAATCAAACTCATTTGGTTATAGAAGCTCTAATACCATGTCAATGACCATTTTAAACTCAAACGCTTATGCTATTAAGTGAAAGCCCATGACTACTTTCATTATAATCTCTAACTAACGAAGGAAAATAGAAAATTGAGAGAGAGAGAGAGAGAGAGAAATTATCTCCTTCCGAGCTTCCCAGTCCCTCTAACCAAGCCACAAAAACTTGCAGCAAAAATATTTACTCGATTCTTCAACTAATATTTTATCCATGTCAGAACTATCAAAATTCCACCCTAAAACTGATGTTGGAATTATTTACATACTATAAATTTTGGTCACGGTCTCGGATTAAAAATAAATTAGCAAACCTATAAATAAGTTATTTTAGAGCTTTAGCCTGGTATTCTATCCATATTATTACCATCGCAGTTCAGAACTATAAAGATCCAAATTGAAGGTCACAGATCAAACAGAAGTAAAAATAGACATTGCTGCTATTCTTAGATTCCTGTAATTTTACGGCTCAATCTTTGTCTCTTGAGATAGCGTATCATATTTCATGGCTTCCATTGGAATTTCAGCTCATGACCACCCAGTCACAGAGAGATGGACCTGCTTTTCTATTTGTTGTTGTTTTTGTATCCTTTGAGTAGTCCCTTTCAAAGATCAAGGATGTTAACACTCTTCTGTTTGTAACGTTCTCCACAATCAGCAAATTTCCTATTCTAATGAGGAGAACTATACAATACAGTAACATATCCAATGTGTGATAGAGAAATGCAAGTTGTATGAGAAGACTATAGAACAAGATGCAGAATAAAATGTTGGCAGACGGCAGACAAGAGCATTAGAAAAAGCTAAGGCAAATAATGGAATAATCAGAAATGTTAAAATGTTCTTTTCCTATTCTGAATTAGAGGTCCTTGAATGTTTAATAGGCCAATAATTGATCTTAAAGGGGATAATTTCTACCAAATATCCAAGGCAATATATGTGCAATGAGCAAAAAGAAATTAATAAATAAACCAAGAACTATTGCAAGGGATGAACCTGCTTCTTCTTTTTCCTATGTCTTCTTTTCCTCCGAGGTTTGTGAGCATCAGAGTTGGAGCTTAGATTACTACCATGACCTGTCCCTGATTTTGAGGATCCCCTTGCTTTAAAGTCTGAGCTACTTCTGCTATTTGAGGTGTTACTTGAAGTGGAAATCTCATGCCTCTGTATCAATGAATTTTGGCCAGAAGATGACCCAAACCTTGTTTGAGCAGAGAGTGAAATTGACACTTTGTTTTTGGTGCGAGGAGGGGGCATCAAAGCTCTAGCAGAAATCTGCCTCTATAAACAACGGGTGAGGACGATTGGAAGGAGGAAAAAAAAAAATCTAAAGTAGTTGGTGACTATCTGTAAATGATAACCTCCTGAAGCAGTACAACTCTCCTAGCGCATACCTGGTTCTTTTCATCGCTAGACATGCCAGACACTGCTTTGCCAGAAGCACTAGAAGCCTGCTCTTTGCAAGAAAACAAAATCTTAGGTTGCAGATTTTATCAACGTAAAGCAGGGTATATCTTCAAAACATCTAAAACATAATATGATTGTATCGTAAAATTGCCACCGAATATTTTTCTCCAACAAACAGATGTTAAACGTTTTACAAAAAGGAACATTACTCTTATTTCAGTAATCAGTAACATCACATATCATAATCAGAGGTTCATTCAATTACTATTCTCATCCATGTAACCATATCTCACCTGGTGCTTTTATCCGTCCATTCATCATCAGCTTCTGCTTCATCACTAGAACTTCCACCAAGAAAAAAATCATCTTCACTCAGATCCAAGAGGCCATCATCCTCACTCCCCGTTTCTGTTATTGAAGCAAAGAAGAAATGTCACCAATAAATCCTCTGGTCGAGTCCCATCAACAAGATAATCCAATTTAATTGATGAAACATTTTCAACTAATTTTTTCTGTATTATATTGCCAAATAGTTCTCCCACTTCATCAAATATTTTAAATGAGCAGAATATTAATCCACAGAGGGGAAAAAAAACAAGCATATAGAAAACCTTCCAAGTCCTTCCCACTTTCTGCTGCCGCAACCAATCTGGCTTCAATCTGTTTCCTTAACCTATTTCTATTATCAACTATTTCTGAATCATCACCACCACTAAACAAAGGAACATATTTTTCTGTCTTGGGAAAGTACTGCAATTTGAAACAGAACAAAGTCAAGCATTAAACTCCAGTAAGCATCAAACATAAAGCAACTGACTCTTGGACTCTTGGAAGATCCACAAAGGTAAAATTAAATTAACCCAAGGTCAATTGGAAGGTAGAAAAAGGCACACCGACATCAACAACCAAGGAACACATTCTATATTTTGTATAAATCATATGGAATCAAGTAGTTAGTAGAAATCTTATTGATATTGATGAAATCAATTAATGTATGGCTCTAACTAGACTCAGATCTTAATCTTAAAATACACACATGCACACATGCAGATAAATATAACATTTTATATGCATATCCCTCACTTGATCATACAAAAACTTGATTCAGACTGGCTCGTTTATAGCCCCACTCACTGGATTCAAATTCCCTTCTCATCTCAACCATAGAACTGTGTGCATAAACTGTCCAAATTTAGGTTGAAATGCATAATTTTTTTCTTTTGGTTTTTTTTTTTTTTTTAATTTAAAACATCTGCTTTGGTAAATCGATAGTAAGGAGGCTAAATTCATTTTACATTCTATTCTATGAGAGAAGAATTTTAAAATTTTAAAAATAAAATAAAATATGAAAAGTCTGATCTTATTTTGAATATGACTATTCCCTACTCGTCTCACTACTGAGCTTTGAGATAAGTAGAGGATGCAATTGCCTAGTTCACTGTACTGCTTGTTACCAAATATAATTATATATCAATTTAATTATTTACACAACTTTTCTTGCTCTTGAATTAGTGTGTGCCCCCTTACTAGTAGTTGTATACAAAGAAGTGAAACAAGCAGTACTATCCAACCCTAGCATATTATAATCAACAATATGGGATAGATAGATATTAAAACTTAAATACACACATACCATAACATATTGCAGATCTTCTTTGAGCTTGGAAAGCTGCTCAGCTGTCTCTGCACTTTCTGCCTGAGCAGATGAAGCACGCTGCAGTTTCTCTAGACGTCTGATTCTCCTTTCTATTTTCCTTCTCTCTAAACAATGAAAAGTGAAAGACTACTTCAGTGAGGCAGCAAGAAGATTGACCCTAACCCAGGGCACATTGGACTAAGTTAAACATTGTCATGCGATATGCCGAGGACGAAGATTCACCAAAGAATTTTATCTTTCTGCCACGCAAGAACATTTTGCGTTCAGCAGCAAGACGCGTGTGAATCTCCTGCTGCTTTTTAAGCCCTTCTAACTTCGCTTCTTGCGCCTGTCTCACCTCAGGTGGCAAATTCTTCAGAACCACAGCAAATGTAGTTAGGAGCTCGGAAGAAGCAGACAGCAAAAAATTAGGGAATTAAGATGAACCTAAAATGTAGAAGTTCATCCTGCATTTAGAGATATACGTAGAGAGAGAGGGAGACACACACACGCACACACTTCCCCTTCAAAAGATGAGATGAGCTTATGTGATCATAAAAATATACTATCCATTTAATTTAATTTAAGATTGAAATATGCAAGACAAACTCTCGTGGGTCTCAAATCATAGCTTTTGAATTCCTACTTTCAAATTGAACCAAATCATCCGTTTGAACCCATCCTTTCTCCTGAAAAAGTACTAAACGAAATGTTTTAAAACCTCAGAAATCTTTACCCTTTTGAAGAAACGGATTAAAAACATGTTTACCCGATAATCTAATAAATTACCTTCCGAAGCATGCGCTCAACGGATCGAATCTGGTTCTTGAGAGAAACAGCCTTGGGTTTCTTCGCCATGCCCAGGCCCTTAGATCGACGATTGGCTGGCTTGACCCGGCGTTTGCTGTAGCCACCGTGAGCCATTTTCGTTCTTCAACCGATAAGATTTCCTGAGGAATATTTCGTATTCCCTTAGCAAGAAGGAAAGAAGAAAAAGGTCTGCGTGTGAGCGAATGCTCAGGAGCTTCAAGCAAAACGTATTATTCCTCCTTCTACCTCATCTCATGGGACTTTGAGAAAGCATTGCAAATTTGCAGTTGATGCCGTTGATTCTAGGTTTTCTTATTTTCTTTCTTCTTCCTTTCATTTTTCTCACTTTCTCAAAATTAATATTTTATCAAGTACATCCGGGCATCCTAAAATATTTTATAATATATTCAGTATTAAAAAATATTTGTTTAGATGCATCCAACACTATAAAATATTTTTCAGTGCATTTAGCATTAAAACAGAAAAAATACTTTAGAATGTTAAACACATCTAAAAAATATTTTGGCGTGTTGAATATGTAGACCCATAAATATTTTCTGAAATTGTTTAGACATTGCATAATAAATTATTAAGAAAACAAAAGGATTGATACAGTCATTATCAAAAAATCACAAAAATGGATAATCATTTTGTAACTTTTTGTTAGAAAAACCACTGCAACATCCAAAAATAATTATCCATGATTTGCAACCTGGTTTTTCTAATATTACAAAAGGTTAAGATACATTTAGTATTTTGAAATATTTTTTTATGGTGCATCCAGTATCTTGAATGAGCACCTAGAAGTATTTTGTGATACATCTAGCTCCCGAAGTATTTTTCATGTGCGTCTAGTTTTTTTTTTTTATTTGCCTTGGTACTAGATGCACAAAAAATAATTTTGGGTGCTACATGTATATACATAAAAAAATACTTTAGAGTACTGAATGCACCAAAAAAAATATTTTATGGTGTTTATTGCACTTAAAAAAATATTTTAGAGTGTTGGATGCATCACAAAATACTTTTCAGCTCTCAAAAAAATACTATAAGATGCTAAATGCACATTAACTCTATTATAAAATATATTTTTATATAATTATCAAGTGTTTAATATTATAAGGTTATAATTACATATTATCCTGATTAGAAGTTCCTCTTTTAACATAATTTTGTTCATATGTAATGTTAAGACTATCAATACTATGAAAGAATATTAGGGTTTAATAATAATACATTTGTTGGAAGCTCGTACTATAATTTTATGGAACAGAAGTTTGCTTTGCCATTTCAGGGTTAATACAAATTTTGATTCCTCAAATTTGGATCTAATTTGGTATTGGTCCCTGAAATTTAAACCGTGTGGTATTGGTCCCTTAAATTATGTCCGTTTCAGACCATTGGTCCCTGGCATCTTGGCACCGTTAAATTTTGCTGACATGGTGTTAACATCGTTGACTAATGAGTTGGCATGTAAGCGGTATTAGCCCCTTAAATTGGGGCCATTTTGGTATTGGTCCCGAAAATTTAAAACTGATGGTATTTATCCCTCAAATTATATTTGTTTCTGGCTGTTAGTCCCTGATAGCTTTAGGCCGTCAAATTCGTCTAAGTTGGCACTAACTTTGTTAACTTGTGATGTGGCATCTGACTTGGCAACTAAACTTGATGATGTGGCATGAGCAATAGAAGGCTGTGGTCGAAGAGACTCTATGCAATCTGGGATTCACTTTTGTTAAAACATAAAGCTTCTACTCCTATGGAGGAAACACAGTGCATTCTTAGCTAAAGCTATCAGGGACTAACAGCCAGAAACAAATATAATTTGAGGGACCAATACCATCGATTTTAAATTTTAGGAACCAATACCAAAATGGCCTCAAATTTGAGAGACCAATACCATGTCCAGGTCATATGCCACCTACATGCCAACTTATCGGTTAACGGTGTTAATGCCATGTCAGTAAAATTTAACGGTGCCAAGGTGCCAGGGGCCAACAGTCTGAAATGGACATAATTTGAGGGACCACTACCACACGTTTTAAATTTTAGAAACCAATACTAAATTGGGTCCAAATTTGAAGAACCAAAATTTGTATTAACCCGCTATTTTATAAAAGAACTCTTAATTCATAAGTTGTAGGGAGGAATTTATGTCATTACAAACAAAGACTAAAGCAAGTGTTGGGTTCTGCTTATTAAAAAGAAAAAAAAGGAAGAAAAAAAATGTTGGGTTAAAAGCTTATGTTAAATGTTATAAATTGACTTCTTATACCAAAATCTTGCCATTTTATAAAAGAATTCTTAATTCATAAGTTGTAGGGAGGAATTCATATCATCTATCTATTACTATTATAAGGGAGGGGTTTCCGCAAGGCCATCTAGAAGTGCGACAAGTGGCACAACGAGGAAAAGAGATAAATACTTTACTTTTTTATTTGTTTTTAAATAATTAGTCCTCTCTTTTGCAATGTAATAAAACCGTCAATATTAATTTTTTTTAACCGTTAACAGATTTCAGTTACCCATTTTGTTTCTAAGTATTTTGATTTAGTTAGGTTTTTTCGAAAACTGTGGTTGTTGGTAACTTAAAGAATTTGATTTAACATGTTTTATTTTTTCCCCTGAAAATATGTCACCGCTGTTATTTTTTACCAGGGATAATTATGTTAATTTTGAACTAATTAATTATTAAATTTATTTGTCCTGATTGAAATAAATATCTAATTGACAACTTTGTTTTGGAGAATAACAAGGAATTTACATGCAAAAAATAAAATGTTGATTATTATCCTACTATTTATCCCATATAAAGAATTTCAAAATTCAAATTTTTTTCATTATTTTGTTTCAATATTGTTTAGATTGTACTCCACGTGGATCCTGATTGATGTTTCAAAGGCCGTTGATATTTTTATGTCCGATATATATGCCGCGAATTTCAATCAATACATATTATAATGGGCTTGAAGGTGGTAAGTGGGGTGCTTGTAATCGTGTCTCCGATGGTCCCGCTTTAGTGTGAGTGCTTCCGACGGTCACCAGTAATTGAATCTAAAAATAACAAAAAATACATTATACTCTATCATAGACTAAAATGCTAATCCTAAATTTTGAGTCCTAAAGTCACCAGTTTGGCTATTCATTTTTACCTCAGAACCTATGGTTTTTTGAGAGGAAAATTCTTACGAACTCAATAAATTAATTTTACCAATTCTTAGGCTAAAGTTTAATTGCAATTTTATAAAAAGGTTGAAAATGTGTTCTATCCAAAAACCCAATATTAAGTATATGTATTCATATGATTATTTATATATTTATACCTGAAAATAAAAAATAAATAGAATAATATGATATATATATATAAGTGTGCGCGCGCATCTTTGCGTGTGTAATTGTTGTGGGAACGTGCGTACGAAGGTTGAAAGATTGCTGGGCAATATTTTGTGTGTGGACATGTGTATATGCACATATGCGTGTTCAATTCTACGTACTAAGAATAAAGTTCTATCTACTTTTGTTCATTGTCGCACTCTTGTTGAAAATCTCTTTAATAGTAAGATTCGCTCCTTTCAATCTGATTGGGGAGGAGAATTTCGATCTTTACACAAACTCCTTTCTTCCACTGGCATTCATTATCGCATCATGTGTTCACACACAAAAAATGGCGCTGTCCAATGACGACATCATTCCATCGTTGACACTGGGCTCGTTGTTTTGTCTCATGCTCATGTTCCACGTAACTATTGGTCTTATGTTTTTTCCACTGCCACATATTTATTAAATTATCTTCCTAGTCCTTCTCTTCATAATCCTAGTCCTTTCCAAAACTTATTTCATATGAAACCGAACTACACCTTCCTAAGGGTCTTCGGTTCTGCCTGCTGGCCCAACTTGAGGCCTTACACCAAAAATAAATTGGAACCCAGGTGCTCGCTTTGTGTGTTTGTGGGATACAGTACTAATCATCTTGGTTATTTATGCCTGGACATTAAAACAGGACCCGGGATGTCATTTTTTTATGAAACCAGTTTCCCTTCTCAAACACATCAAACACGCCCAAGCCCACTTCATTCCCACCAAACTGCTCCAAGCCCACCCACACGCCCCCTTACGCTAGGCCCGCCTGTCTCTCCCTCTCCATCATCATCGATCGTCCTCCCCCCCGGTCCCGAGCGCCGTCCCCTGCACCATCCCCTGCCCCTGAACCATAGCTCTGAATATTTGATTGCAGCAGGAAGAAATGACGATTTTTAGAGTTGCAGTCAGATCATTAAATGGCTGTTTGTCGCACCAATTTCATCAGACTCATTTTGCCAGACGTCTCTCAATATGGTCGAACATAGGTACTTAAAATTACTCCACATTCTTTGCTTTCTGCAGTGCTTTGTCTGTTGGTCAGTATCCTTCTGGTTTACTTTAATTATGTTATGTCTATTTACCATAAATTCTGGTTCACTACAACAAAGGAATCTGTTTAGAGTGCCCTCTTCTGTCTTGACTCCTTATACACTGATTAGGAGCAAGCCTTCCTCTACTTCAACGAAGAATCAAGATCATACCCTTTAAGCAAGCCTCTCTGGAACTGAGATTTTTCGATGAATGTTTTTTTTCCCCTTTATCTTTCTAATATTTGTTCCTGAATCCTTTCGAATTTGTGGAATGTTTGAGCAGGCAATGGACCTAATGACCAGCAAAACAATAATTCTCATGAGTCTGTTGAGGAATTTAGGCGGCGAATATTTGGCGATACTCCTAGTGGCAATTCCAAAACTGATGCCTTATTTGATAAGCTTGAACGAATGGGGAGGAGTCGTGATAGGTCAAGCTCTAGAACTGAGATGTTGAATGATCCGGATGAAGGTTTTGACACATTAACTGATGGAATGGATGGAAAACTTGAGGAGGCAGCTGCATACTTTGAATATGATATTGAGGAAGTAGATCAAGATGATTATTCTTTTCGCTATGACGCGAATTATAGGCGTGCTTCGACATATGATATTAAGGTATGTATTGCTGCCTTAATTTACATTCACTCAAGCTTATAATTTCTTTTTGATCCCTCGTATTTGTTCTGTGCAATATATAATTTGTTTTTGGCCTGATTCGACATAGAGTTCACCTTATGTCCATGTGGCAACTTATTATTTATATTTTGCCTAGTCTAGTTTCAATAATGTCTAACATAATGTAAATTTGTCTTGGAATTAATTTGCGATATAGTGATATATTAAAAGGAGATATTTGTGGCTAATTTAGTATTTTGAAAAGTGTTTTCTGAAGAGATTTTATATGTTGGATCATTAAAGAGAAAGGAATCATTCAGAAAAACACCAGTTTGTACTGTCAAAAGTTATTCTAGGAAAGTTATGTAATCTTTATAGAGAATGATTTTATGTGCATAGTTCAGAAAATTAGATCAAACTAGCTGGTTGGACCAGAAAACTGGTGAATTGAATCATGGATTTGGTACTGTTGACCCTGAAAATCTGTTAGAAAAAACATGCCAGAGATTCAGACTGGTGAAAAATGGCAGCAATAGGTTGGTTTTGCACTGAATCACTCATAAATCTCTCTTTCTCTGTCTCTCTCTGAATCTAAATTTTGGCAGTTTCTGTTAGAGATTTATAACGTTTAATGAACTCTAGTACACTGATTTCATATAAATTTGTTCTCATATGTTAAGTGCTAAGTCTTTAACAAGTTTTTATATTTTCAAATTTCATTTACAATACATGTCATAAATATATACTCCTCCAGTCTTTAATATAAGACCTATTTAACTAACTTGATTAGATTAAAGAGGTTAGATAAGGTAGTTAATTATAAAAAATATGACATGCTTTTCCTAAAATACCATAATCATTTTTCTTAATATCTTTTCTCCCTCTTCTATTTAATTATGGTTAAGGAAGTATCCATATGGGTAATTTAGAGAAAATTGATAAATATAAGAAATGAGTCTTATATTTAGGCGCAATATCAACTCAACAATTAGATCCTATATTAAGGATCGGAGGAGTATTTATACTTTTGATATATAATGAAAAGATAATACAAACTCCAGTTCAACTATGATAGGACCATTGAACCATCAACTGCTTTCTGCCTTAATTCAATGACTTGTGATTTTTACTTTTATTTTTTTTATGTTAAGATTATATACTAAAACAACAACTTCTTTTACTCCTAAATGGGAACTACAATCTTAAATTTGTTCTTTTGTTAATTGTTACTGATACATGACTTTTCGTTTTGTTTCTTTTGTTTTGGAGGAGCTAAAACTTATTTTCCTTCATTATAATATGAAAAATTGTTTAAAATACATCAAATGTGACTGTGATATCTTCTAAATGGCAATAGGAAAGCTTTTGCTAAATCTTAGAAATCACTGGAAGTTATATGTATGTATGTGAAAACACGATATGTAGAGCTAGCATAGATCAGGCCCGAAATTGTAGCAAATGGCTAACAACTTTCATTTTTTCAAATAAATCTTCTTCCATTGTTTTATTCTGTATCGAGTGTGTAAGAAATAAGTTTTCTGATCTATGCATTGTATTTCTTCATGCAGGATCTTGATCTTACAAAACCAGCTGCACCAAAATTTGCCAGAGATGACGAGTTCACAGTAACCACTGAAGAAGTTCTTAGAAAAGCAGATTTCAGGGTCAGCACTAATGAGTTCCTTCGTAGTATTCTTTTATTTAAGCTCTATAATAACCAGTCTGTATACTATAGTATTGCGCATTAGTCATTAGCATAATTACCGTATATGTCTACACAGTAATAATATCAAAAGTAATAGCTAGTAACATAATAGCATGGCTGTTGGTGGGAGTTAATTGCAGAATTTATGTGATCTGAGAGTATGGTAAGGTATACCAATCCGTCAACTTTGGGACAAGAAGATACCAACTCAGCCTTTTCCATAGGTCTTTGATTTAGATAGATTGTACACTGACTTAATCAAGATGTAGAATTGTCCTTTCAGTTAGGTTGGTTCGTTATATTCACTCTAAAATATGTGCTCTTTGTAACTCCCCAGTGAGTTGTCCACGTATTCTTATTTTCAAGTCATCATTTACTTGTAAGGAAATTCTGTTAGTATACCATGCAGGGGCAGGTGGAGATGATTGGTGAGGTAAAACTTATGGAATTTAATTGGGACATATTTGGACTCTAGCGTTTAAACTTTCAACTTAGGTTTTGGCTATTCTGGTCAAAGTTGATTCATGCTGCACTCTCAAGTGAAGCCGTGATTTGCATTCGTTTTCTATCATGGAACAAAATTGTCCTGTCTAAACTATTTCTGGGTTTGGTTCTTACTGTCAGTGTTTTGTGCAGAACGTGAGATTCCTTGCAAACTTCTTAACACCGGCTGGAATCATTATCAAGAGGAGCCAGGTAAGCTTTAGAGCACTGCTTGTCCGTTGGCTGTCTAAGGGTGATATAAAGGTTTTGGAGAATATATTTTTAAACCATTAATCAGAACACCATTCTTATGAACCCTTCTTCTCCTTTTGTCCTTTTCCCATCCTACCAAGTGGAGTCTAAGCAGAAAATCAATGTGATAACTTAGGTTAAAGGTTGAGATCTTACTGACTGCTCTTTTATTTCAAATTGAGTAGACTGGCATTAGTGCGAAGGCTCAAAGAAAGATCGCCAGGGAGATTAAAACAGCACGAGCTTTTGGGTTGATACCCTTCACAACAATGGGGACAAAGGCATTTATATTTGGTAAAACTATGGAGGATCTTGATGATGATTACGTGTCTCAGAGTTATGATCCCTACATGGCCGTTAACATGGAAGATCGTTGAGTCTTATGGTTACGCTGTGCAGTTAAAGTAACCTCCACTATTCGACCTGACTTTTAAGAAAAAATCCTCCCCACTTCCCTCTCCCCCAATCCAATAGACAGCTAAACTTAGCTGAGAAACTATTGATTTTTCAGGAAATTTTGATAGACAGGCACAGGCTGCTTATGTATTTACTTGTATTATTTATTAAATCAAAATGAAACTATTGAGTTTGTTTGAGAATTTGTCATGGTTCAACTTCTGTGTAAATTCTGGCTTGGTCACATCATGTGAATACGGGCTTTTGGCATGTCTTTGTTTGTGATCAATCCTGTAGCAATCCTATTTATCCTTTCAACTATCCTACTCTGCAGCTTGGATTACTAATAAATCTTCCAATTACGAGCAGGCTGTCCGTGTTTCAACGAATCTTGTTTATGGCCTGTTTTCTTGGCTGTTATTTATGGATTTAATCTGTATGTTTTTAGTAGCTTATAATATCATACAGGGTTAAAGTGTAAGCAATTTTTCCAGTCCCGTCAACTCCTCAAAACTTCCGTTATTTTTTTTTGTTTGGTGGGCCCCCTCTTATCCACATGTCCTTTGGTTATTTTATCTCTGTCTCCTCTCTCATTTGCATGGCGCTTCATCTCTCCAAATTCCGTAGCTTCTCCTTCCTCACATATCTCAAACTCACCGAAATCATATCTCTATCATAGCTTCGTGGCAGGACGGCTCTAAAATGGAAGAAGAAATAGTGTTAAAGTAAAAAGGATAAAAGTTAGAGGAGATTTTTTTGGTGTAATTAATTTGTGTGATTGTAGACGTTACCCCAAAAAAGCTCCCATTCTTGTCGGCTAAACCTTTTTTTAAGGTTCTTTTCTTTGCAAATTTTGTCAAGCAAAGCATTAACATGTCTCTCTCACTTTAGTTCTGCTATACTTACTGCCATAATATGGGTTGTTTCAATCTTTTTCACTTGAAGGAACTTAAAGGAAGGTGACTACGTTTCACGCGTATGGCCAAGGGTCTATTTGACTAGGCGTTTCTGGAGCCCAAAAGGAGCTTATTGGTGCCATAGGCTCGATTTTAAATTTTGACCTGTTTGACATGGCCGAAAAGCAGGATTGAATCGCACATTTGAGAAGCTCTTATGAATAGCTTATTTTTTATTTTCACCATGCTTGTGGTTGGTAAGAGTGTGCCGTCAAAACAATTATTACAAAGTGTCAGATAATAATTTCTCTCTCACTGCCTCATTTTATTCTCTCTCATTCTCTCATATTTGAAAGCCTCAGCTGATTCTCCTTTATCCTCCCATCCCAAGAAAGCAGAGCATTGCAGCCTCCACCTTGAGCTCCGTCGTGTCTGTCGCTTGTTCGCCGTCTGCTGCTGGGTCATCTTAGTGCTTTCTCTACTCCTTTGCTCTTCCCTTGTGCGATCTACCAGCAGCGTCGAGAAAGCAGAGCGTAGCAGCATCTTCGCCATAACGTCCGACGTCTTCGCCATGAGCTCTGTCTGCTGGTGAGTCATCTCTTTGTCTTGGTCCTTTGTCTACTCCTTTGCGCTTCCCTCGTCAGATCTAGCATCGTCGTTGAGACGTGGTGGCCGCCTCCGTCTGCCTGTGTATGTGAGTGGTGGTTGCATATCTTGACCGAGCATTGTTGGTCACTGTCCGACCTACCCATCTAAGACTTCATTGCGGTCGATCTGCTATAGCCTATAGGTGTGCCTCAGACTCCAAAAATGCTTTTGCTTTTTCTGTTGGAGCTCCTCAAGTGTAGAGGCGATCTGATTCTTGGTGCTTTTTTCTGCTATATATATCTGCTATAGGAGTTATTGGTGTTGTTCATATGTGTGTTTGGCTAGTTTGTTGGATTTTATTGGTGCTCTGTTCTTCGTGTTATTGATGCAGGGAGTGTTGGTCCAGTAGTTTGCATTGCTAGTTGATTGTTTGCCTCGTTCGTTAGTCGAGTATGTTTTGATTCATGAGACTGACATTCTTGTGCTTCTATTTAGCTTGTCACCTATCTGCATAAATTTGGATTCTAGTTCTCCCTATTAGTATATTGGTCGAGTAGTGTTCGTCGATAAATAGTTTGCATTTATGTATCTGTATCTTTCTCGTTTGTCCAGTAGCATGAGATAGAAATTTCCTGTGTTTAATTATATTATGGGTAGTCTTGAAATCAACTGCTGATTTTTTGACAATTTTTTGAGTCCAATTCCAAGCTACTTTTGAGTTATATTGTGAAAATATATTGAGTAGCGGTTGAGTTGTTGGGAGAACAATTACGAAGGAGATCATGCGGATTGTTATGAAATGCTTTTAGGCTATGCTATGGATAGAAGGACGAGACAAAAATATAGCAAAGGAAGTATTAGCCTATATTCTGAAATTTAGGTGAAGACTATGCATATAACATATTTTTGTTTGGGCAAAACTTATTTATTACATAATATAGCTTTTATGTGAACATTTTTTGTGCTTGGCTTGCTTCAATTTGTCTTATCTCTATTATTTTTTTATAAAAAAATGGATAATGATTAAAGGAAAAATGATATGGGATCCTTACACGACTAAAATTTTTATCAATATTTGTGTTGAGTAAATATTGACAAAGCAACGACAAGAAACATCATTTACAATGCCTGGCTGAAACAATATTGAAAGGAAATTTAAGGAAAGGAACAGGAAAAATTATGACAAGAAACAACTGAAGAATAGCTTTGACATATTGAGAAAAAATTAGAAGTTACGGGAATTATTGATGTCTGGAGAGACTGGCATAGGGTATGATGCAGTCACAAATAGGGTGTTGGCCTCTGATGAGTAGTGGCAACGAAAATTGCTGATAACTATTTGCATTGCTTAAGAATTAATTTTGAATATCAATTCACACATCGCTTGATTCTGCCTAATTATGTGAATATAGGTGAACACCAATTTCAGGAAATTTAGACATTAGGGGTTGTTGTTTGCATCCGATTTAGTGAAAATATTCAAAGATGTTATAGTTTCGGGAGACTATATGTATGCATCATTAGTCTCACAGCCTTAGCTGGCATTTGCTCCATAGACTGACACAAAAGACGAGGACAATGTTGATAGAGTCATGTTGGACCAAGAGGAATGGTCGAGGGACAGTGAAGAAAATTTTGATATTAGGCCAACAACCAATATAGGTCTAACAAATAAATTGGCTAGTTGTAACTTAAACAACCCCTTGAGTAGTGGAACAAGTGGTTTAAGAAGCCATGAAAAGAGGAAAAAAGGTGTGACGTCTGATGCAAACAAGAAAAAAAAGTTGCTGCCTCTAAGCACATTGTTGATAGCCTTGATGTTATAGCAACTGCTTCTGAGCAGCGGGTAGCAACATTGAACGACGATCCCTATTCAATTAACAAGGTTTTGGCACACCTGGCCAACATTGAAAAGCTTAATGATGATAATGAACTATATTATGCATGTGCTAAAATGCTTACGCAGTTGATGTGAGTTAGGCAAGCTTATATAACACTTATGAATAATAAACACAAGTTGTTGAGGTGCTTGATACTGGCAGCACAAGACCCAAACACATGGAAGGGACCTGCAGTTTAGGAGTTACTAATTTCACTGTTGCTATTGTACTTTTTAACTTGAATTGATTTTTGTTTTAACATAAATTGATGCGGCCTGTTGTGGGAACTTAATTAATGAGTATGTAATATATTTACGATAATTTCAACTTGTCATTTATGTGTTCGGTTTAACTGTTTGTAGTATGAAAAATCTTTAGTTATTAGTTATAATGCTTACACTTTCTTCTAACCATAGTTACAGGGTTAATTATACAATGGCCAATTGGAATGATGACTTATCATGAAATGAAGATACATTGGCGAATTGGAATAATGATTTATGGTGGAATTAAGAGAATGTAGATGATCATTCAACAGGTTATCCATTATAAGTTAGAATTAACACAATATGAAGCAGCAGGTGCATTGTTGAGTCATTATTGTTAAATGTACATGTTTAAATAACCCTGCAGAACTAGTGAGTAAACAGAAAATTTATGGGTACAAGGCATTTTGATAGGTCACAGTGATCAATGTCATGGAATGTTTAGAGTGGATAAACGTGTTTTTCACCTCTTATGCGCTAAATTGGAGGAACATGATTTACGCAAGTCTAAGTATGTAGGAATTGAAGAAGTGGTTGCAATGTTTCTAAACACAGCTGTACATAGACAATGCAATAGGATGATCCAAGTACGATTTCAACCTTCAGGGAAAACTATAATTAGGTAGTTTCATAATGCACTGCAAGCTTGTCTTAATATATCGAGGGAACTTATTGGACCTGTACATCCTACATTTCGTGAAACTCATAGAAAAATTGAGGATGATCCATGTTATTATCCATTTTTTAAGAGATGCAATTGAAGCAATTGATGGCACTTATATACCGTGTGTCGTCCTTGCTGCGAAACAAGACAAATTTATTGAGAAAAAAAGAATTCCACAAAATGTCATGATTGTATGTGATTGAGATAAATGGTTTACTTTTGTGTTGGCAGGATGGGAGGGATTTGCACATGATGCTCGTGTATTTGATAATGTTATTACAAATTCATCTCTAAATTTCCCTCATCCACCTTCAGGTATATATTTATAAGTTTCAATTAAGCTAATTTTTAATTATTTTATATTTTAATTAATTTCACAATGTCACAAATTGTTTTATGAGTTATTAGGGAAATATTACTTGGTTGATACGGAATATCCAACACCAAATAGATATATAGGTCTATACAGATCCAAGTGCTACTACCATCCAGACTTTCAATGATAAGTAGAATTCTAAAAGAGTAATGAAACCTTCAATTATTATTATTCCAATTTAAGGTGAAAGAATAGATTTCAAATCTTATGAAATATGCGTAGTTACAAGTCCTAAACACAACTGTACCTGGTTTGTACAACAGTGGCCATTCCTAACCTTATAAGAAGATATTCAAGCTCTGACACCTATTTCGTAGAAGCTGAAAATAGTAATATAGTTGGTGAACATGATCAGGCTGAAACTGGTCAACCATCAACTTCAAATGTAACATCACAGTCTTCATCGCATATAAATCGTGTCCGTGATGCAATCAGAAACCAAATTGTCCATAGCTTATCAGTTAGTTAATTATATAATATTATTTCATTTCACCTTGTCACAATACAATGAATTGGAGATTAATAATATTTTATCTATTGAAATTATGTTTCACTTTATA